ATGACATCTTATTAAAATTTTTAGATATAACTATTAAAATGTAAGGATGTGACGGTATTGATCAAACAACACGCCATCGGAACGTTCACCAATCGACTCAAGGTTTCTGTCGGTGTTTGTGCGTCTACGTCGACGTCACTCGGACCACTTACGTCACGACTTCGGGTGAGGTCGTCAAATGCTCGTGAATTTTCGTAAGTCCGCAGACAACTTCTGTTATGAATTCTAATTTGTATTATTCATGTTTATCATTATAAATAGAACTTCCACAATTCCAGTCATCAGTAGTAGCGAGTCTCTTTAGGGAAAAGTCTCCTCGACAAGCGGTCTTTAGATACATGTTATATTCTGTTGAACGGAGCGAGTTGAGTTGCTCGCCAGCAAATATCGGCCGAATATACACCTCAACGGCAATTTACGTTCGCGTGTAAAATTGAGAATGAAGAACTGATGCTTTGCTCATCTAAGAGTGAAGGGCAGATCCCGAATGCATTGAGGGAGAGCGAGATGACGGGGGAATTGAACAGCACAGCAAATGCGGGAAATATGAAGAGGAAAAACATGTCGTTTTTGACTCCAGAGATCTTGATCACCTACGAACGCGAGGGACAGCAGGCCAAAACGTACGAAGAGAGATATAAGGAAGCGGCCTTGGGAGTTTTTGGGACTAAAAGGTCCTTAACACATTTAACTGTGCCGACCACACTACTGCAAACAGACAAGCAGGCAGTTATAAGGCAATACCATTCAGACCCGTGCATAGCAAGCCTTGGAATTCTACAATGATAATGGAGAAACTTAAAAAAATTGTTGATTGTGATGACGACTGATCAAAGGCAAATATTTCAAGGCCGCTCTTTATATGTTAATTGCACGTCCTTCCGCGAGCTTTAACACCACAGAACAAATCACATGTGGTATATTTACCATTGGATGCTAAGAAAAAATTAGAAACGTTTTTCTTGGCAATAACTAGTTTTAAGCGCTTGAACTCGTCAGTTTGCCTAATTCAATGGTGGCCATATGCTTTCAGAACTGTCATGCTAAAGAAGGCTTCCAGCCCACGCAGCCGTAATATAAACTGCAGTTTCAGACTGCTATTACATGCAATAAGTGTTACTCTACTTTAAATTATTTACCGACAATTGATTATGCTTTGGCTAGATTGAAAAACCTAGTTTACTTTTTAGTCATACAGTTTCCAAGCAAAATAAATGAAATGAAAAATGGAGCAAACATTCAAGATAAACATTTTTTTGTTTTCACAATTTTTTTTTTTACGTATGCTCTTTTTAAGGTACGGTTTTGTATTCTGTTGGGTTTGGCTTCGGTCTTTCTTTCGGGCAGAGTAGAATTTGCATTTGCAATTTTAATTTTTTTTATTAAGAACATAATTTTTTTTATTTTATTTAATGCCAATAAGAATTTTTAACCTTTAAACCTTTTAAAACTAATCGCTGACCGACTCACTTTGTCATTGTGCCAACGTTCCGAAACATATCAATATTTACAACCATTTCAAAGCAAAATTTAGGGAACATTTACGGTACGTAATATGAAATAATTCGAAAGCAAATATATCCCTTCGAAACAAAACACGTGTAAAAGGGCTTCCAGTATTTTTTTCTTGTATTTCTTTCATTCTCCTTTTTTTCCATATTGTAAGGCCCGCGTTGTCCTTTGATTGAAGGAAAATCTTACAAATGCACAAAGAAGTAAATAAGAAAGATAAACTTGCAAAAAAAAGAGAAAAATTAATTGGAAAATCTTTCGATCAGTTTCTTATCTTTTTTAGTTTACTTTAATGTGATTTTAGGATGGAAACTCAATTTTATCGTTTGCAGATTATCTTTTGCTAATCCCTGTGGATACGCTAGGTATCTCGATCGATCTTTCCGACCTTTTTTTCATGAAGTTTCGATGCAGTTTATTATCTCGAATAAACACTATAATTTCTCAGTCCGATCGGAATGCTTACACGCATGACTAATAGTATTCTCTAAATTACATGTGTGTTTGAAGGCCTGACACGAAAGGAAATCATTTTGTCCACACATGCATCAATAGTTTAGGAAACCAGGATAACTTGACAAGCTCTTCTGATCGCTTATTTTGCAAACCAAAAGGAACGAAACTGAGGAATATTTGTCACGAAATATCTAATTGGTACAATGATTGTTTTTGGGCCTTAGAGTGCTCGTCAACCAGAAAATATCTAGCGTTATTGCACACGAATGAGCCACTCACACATGCTCGGAAATCCATGATAAGCATTGATAGTTTTTCATCCGATCACTGATGGCAATCTGAAAATTGTGGGGGAGGAGATACGATGGAACGAAATCGCCACAGGCGTCCTTAATACTCTTCGGGGCTCAAAATACTGATATATAAATTAGCCAAGATTAAATCGCAGATATTTATCGACCACGAACCATCTGTCCTATTTTCGTGGAGTGGGTATCATGCATTGTGAGGTACACTCAGCTGACAGCTCTATTTTTAGCTGGCCTAATCGCGTGAGTTTTGCCTTGACTTTTAGCGAACATTCAGGACTGAAACACTTTTCCTTTAACAATTTTACCGATCGTGCAGCTGTTCGAATTACTACAACGAACGAGGACCCTTAGTAGTGGTGGTAAGCTCCATCGTTAGACTAAATTTTGCGGCATATACTGCTTTTCTTCAATCCGCAGGAGAAAAACAATTGTGTTGTTGATCTCCTCCGGTTTACGTAAAAACGATATGCAGTATGATTATCTGGTAGTAAGTCCATTTGCATTGATAAAACGGCCAAAATTGGCCAACTTATGACTGTGTTTGAAATAAAACGTTGTAAAGTAAACATTTTTATCAGATGGTAGCGATCTGCGTTTATCGGTTTTGACCTCAGTTTGATTTCGACAAGTAGACGATTTCCTTAAAGTAAAGGACAGAAAGGAAGTTTGCAAGAAGGCAAGAAGGCTCGATTTCCGTTTAAGCCTAGGCCTCCTTCCCCCTAAGCGCGGGCTCATTTTCCGAACAGCGGCTAGTTACCGAACCCGCTGGTTTCAAAGCGACAGTTTAAAAAACGAATGGACAAGCACATTTTCCCAGGTGGTGGAGAGCCACCTTAACATTATTCTGCCAAACCTTAAATCGATTCTTCTCTTTAATAATCAGCTCCTTTCAACCCTATAACTCCCAGATCTGATTGTCAATTCTCCCCTCTAGCTGTCACATATTTCCTTGTAAATAAGTCACAAGAATTTGGTGTTAAATCAAGATGACAACTCGTAACTGATAGGTTCGAGTATTCTCTTTCCCCTTTTGCTGGATAATGTATGGATATTATAGGGAGAAGTTACATGTTAATCACTTCTGGGATTTAAAGGATTAAGTACACGGTAACTTGGGACTATCTCTTAAGAACAAATTTGATCATCAACTAATTTATTTTTGAGCTGTTAGCGCTCAAAATGAAACAAATTGCTGTCTTAATTAACATTTAAACGAAGAGATTATTGACTGAACAAAAGTAGTTGCAACGGCCGATGGAGAGAGATCTTATTAGGGGGCCAATGAGAACGATAAGTTAATTCGCGGGAAAGCGCGAGTGATCTATTCAGGAGTGGTTTTTTGTTTTGCCGCTGATTGGTTAACAAAGTGGCGCAAGTTTTCTACACCAATCACAGCAAAGCAATGCCAAAGTAACCTCGGCTTCCTCTTGACATTCAGTTTAAAATGGATGGCCCAATATCGTTACGTTGATGGTGAGGTTCTGTTGTTTAGGAGGGAATCGTTGCATATTTCCCAATGACCGAAAAGGAAACTATGATGGGAACTGAGAAAGATGTTTTTTCGCCTTGTCACGAGCGTGAGACAAAGAAAAAAATTCTGCGGAGTTTCCATGAGGAATCGAACGTCAGACCTTCGGATTCCAAGCTCCGATGCTTTACCACTGAGCCACAGAGACTCTGGTGAGCAAGTCTCATCACTACTAGGATCAGCAATGTCGATAGCGTCATGTTTTGTACATAGAACAAGAGAGATGGTAAGTTTTAAGCTCGGCAAAGAAATAGAGAAAGATGTTTTTCGTCTTGTCACGAGTGTGGAACAAAGAAAAATCTCTTCTTCTATTTCTTTGCCGAGCTTAAAACTTATCATCTTTCTTGTTTTGTTTACAAAATATGATGGAAACTGTTGCCAGTCAGTTTGGAATGGCTCACTTTCACTAATGCTGTTTAATTGTAAATATCATTTTCAGAGCACGTTTTCCAACTTGAGAAATCAACTCCGCGTACATAGCTTCTTTGGGGTCTTCTTTTACAAAAGTAAAAATGAACGTATTTTGAGATCGATGTCATACCATAGTTTGTTGCACTTTATTTCTGTGCCAAAACATACAGTTTGAAATAATATTTATTCATGAGCTACCCTTAATCAAAGTGTAATTTGAAAGATCAATGCATAGAGGACTCTTTGCATGGCTACTGCTAGTTCTTGTCAATGGTGCTAAGCTTCCTTTCAGTCTTACCCATGTGACCACTCTCACCACTTACCCTCCTCTCCTCCATACTGCTGGGATTCTCTTCCTAAAAGGGTATCAATTTTAGGGGGAGAGGTTCCCCCCTCCTTACCACTGGGATTCTCTACCTAGAAGGGTATCATTTTCAGGGGGAGAGGTATGCGAAAGGAAAGGGAGGTATATAGATTCTTCTGGGCGATAAGTTAAGAAAAAACAAAGTGCGATAGTTAAAAGCATGATAGTGGCGGAGGATTGAAAAATAGAGGGAGGTTTGAGTCGAACCGACTGAAGCCTCTGTCATTTTTCTTGCTCTACCGTTATTATCACGCCGTTTCTACATCTCGCCTCGTTTAACTAAATGAACGCTTGCAACAGGCTCGGAGTTCTCGGGGTGAGATATAGAAATGAGCTAAATGAAAACAGAAGTTTGGTGTGTTTGTCACAACGGGTTAATCAAGATAAAACCCAGCTTCGAGTCACAGATCACTAGAAATAAATAAAACACACGATTCCTTTATTTAATTTCATCCTGATTCAAATCCCGTCAAAAAAACCTTCTTATTCATGATTTTGACAGCCAACTGGTCGTTGAAAGTAAGCTAAAATAAACCTTCTCCTTTTAGTTGACTCCTTTAAAGGACATAGATCGCAGTTTTCTCTTGCACATCAGAATCACTCTTTACACCGTTTGGCACAAAATTTGGTTACCTACATGCATTTTCAGATATTTAAACCACAAAATCATGTAAGTTTTCGTTTCAAATAATGTCTTTCAAGTCCTACCCTTTAATAAAGATTAACAAGCCTGCAACAAGCTTTCCAGTGAAAATTTGTGTTCAGTGTTTTGTTTTAAAGAATGCCAAAGAATGGCAAAGACAAAATATAACTTCCAGATCGATATTACAAGTTTATGAGAATGCGATAACACCGCTTATTTTGTACCTTGGTTCAACAGATGCCGAACTCGTTAAGATTTCTAACATTTTTTAGATATGACACTTTCGAGGCTTTCAAACCTCAGGCACACCCACACAGTTGAAGAATAAAATCAAGTACTTTACAAACGATGTTAGATATCAAAATTTCGGATATACGTAGTCTTTAAAGATATTTCAACAACGTTACATTGCTCGTCTTTAATTCGTGGCGTGCCTTGACCAGTTGTCGCATCCACGAATCACATGACCTTCCATGTTATCATCCGCGTACACGTCCAAATAGAGATCATCCAGAGGAGGGTCAGGATCGCTCTCGGCTGCTTTAACAGCTTCTTCGATCAATTGTTTGGCCTCCTGCTCGATACCCTGCCACGGAATCAGCAAACAACTTGAAGATCAGTCATCTTTAACTTAAGGCGACTTTACATATCTTTGTGGCAGCCTCTTTAAAAAGGTGCTGTCAACTTTAACTTTAGATCCTTTACGCAGCGCTCATTTCCTCGTTAGGTTTGTGTTTGTTTCGCGCGGATCAATGTCAGTATCTAGGCAACTGCGCACTTACCTCTCCCCTAACCCAACATTAACCCTAACTTGCGATCAGTTGACTGTTGCTGGGTTGGGGGAGGAGGGGGGTAGGTGCCAGATACTGACTTTGATCCGTTTGGTTGTCAATGTGCCTGCTAACAATCCGTAAGGAGCTTTCCTGATGAGACTATGTTTCCAATTGGGTTTGCCATACTCACTGTTTTAACCTGGACAAAATACGCGTTATTGTTCAACAAGTACCTTAATTTCATCGGTGTCTGCCAGCCCTGAGTCCAGAAGTTTTTCTCTCAAACTTAGGATTGGATCACGCGTCTTACGTACGGCCTGTACTTCATCACGTGACCGGTAGCTGCCAGAAAGTAGAAATAAATAAGCAAGTAGGTTATTCGTTACTCTGAGTACCTCACTGGTGAGAATCACACACTCCATCACCCTTAGAGCTTCTACTTTAACCCTTTAACTCTCATGAGTGACCAAAACAGAATTTCTCCTTACAAGATCAATACAACATCAAGCAGAAAAGTGACGAGAATAGAGAAAACAATTAAATTAATAAGGGCCGGAATTACTAAATGATCCAATACACAATTTTCTGAACTGATATCACACGAATTGTATGGCAGACGAAAAAATAGATTATGAATAAGATCTTGGAAGTGAAAGGGTTAATAACTGCTCATCAAGATTAAATCTAGCGAGAGGATTGATTCAACGCTCAGGTTCAGAGTTGTGTAGTTGGGAATGTCTGGCGCTATACACATAACACCCTGTGAGATCTAAGAGTCTTGCCTGACTACATTACACCAAAACACCAAAAAACCCACCCAGATCTTAAACAAGACCATCTCGATAAGGAGGCCAGTTATGGTAACCAAAAAGCCACTGCAAATACTTTGCTCTGAAGAGAGGTTTATGCTCCAATAATCAGCGTTCCACAATTCAGGACCATGGCTGTCTACTTTTATCATTACTACAGTTCACAATCATCACATTTACCTTGTGCCAGGATCACTCATGCTGTGCCCATAATAACGATATGTAGCCAGCTCCAAAACAATTGGACCCTAGAGGAAAAAGAACGTTTACTTGAATTTTGACAACGTTATACTCACTAACTGTGAGCATCTCTTTGCACATGTGTCGCTAACATAATAAATTTCCCATTCAGGAAATCACCATTATGCCAAAGGGCTACTGCAATTGCTACTTCACAATTCCCTTCATATCTTTTGCTCCTCACTTCCATGCATGTTTCACAATTAAAACATATGTGGCTGTCATGTCAACTAAGTGCCTGTCACAAAGCAGACAGGACTACCCAAGCAAAGGAAAAAACAACCCATTGTTCAGAGCAGGCAGATTTCCTGGCTGTACCAAGTTACACTGTTAGCTCTCTGGTGATCAAAGCACTACTTTCATAATGCACTACCTTTCCTGATCGTGCATAATCTGCAGCAAATTTTGTGACCTCTCTCACTGTTAGAACATCCATACCATCAACCTGTAAGGTGAAAAAAATAAATCATTGCTATTGCTGCAAAAGGTAGGTCCTTCAACAAAGAAAACATTATCATTGTCTACAAATCCACCACACAAAATTTTACTGCTGTTAAATTTCAGTTTAGTGTAACATACTTTAATTCCAGGAATGAAGTCTCCCCTTGTGTGGTATTCAGTGGTAGCAGCTGCTCTTTCAACTGATGTACCCATGCCATATCCATTATTCTCACACACAAAGATGCATGGCAGATTCCAGAGTTTAGCCATGTTATAGGTTTCAAACACCTTTGAGGTAAGCAAATGAATCAGGTACTTATCCATAATAGTGCCTTGTAGTTCTTAAACCTCTCTTGGAATCAAGAAGGAACACATTTCTTTCCTTTTGTTATAGAAATCCACTGGCTTGAGCTGCTCATACTGCACTTATGCAAAAGTTTTTATTTGCCAAGAGAAAATATACCCTAATAGAGACATTTTAAAATCAGTTTATCATACAATAGAAATGGACAATAAAAATCAGTGAGGAAAATAACATGTACCATAATTATAATATGAAAATAAAGAGCTTTTGGCAAGCAGATTCAAGCCTTGAAAAAAGTTATCAATTCCAAGGACAACTAAACTCCCCAATCACGTTTTGGAATTTATTTAAGGCTACACTCTGGCTAGCTGACAGCTAAAAAAAAAAAAACCCTTCAACTGCCATCATTCCTGCTAGGGGTCAACAAAGTACACTGTATTCTCTAAATTATCTAATCTTGTAAATTCATCATAGTTCTTAAGATGGACATTTGCACAAATTGGACATGTGCACCGATCCTTCAAGAGTCTAGTATGAACTAGTGTTATGTTCTAACCTGGCCCTGATTTGCAGCACCATCACCATATAATGTAACACATATTTGTCCATTTCCTCTGTACTGGTGAGCTAAGGCAATTCCTGCACCCAGTGGAACCTAAAGTAACACAACCATATTGCATGCAGTTTTATTGAGTGACACAAAACCAAACCCAATAAACAATCAGAGCACAGGAAAATACCACAAGGAGCCCACGAGTGTGGGAAACTTGAGTGACCACATTGTCAAGACCTGTCACTGGTTTCAGTTTGAATCTAAATGGTTGAGAAAGTGGGTTGAGTTTTCTGAACTATTAACTGAGGGAAGAAAAGCAAAACCAAAGCAATCCCCAATTACTTTTTATTAATAAGTTGAAATTGTGCTAAATGGTAAACCTATTAAGCAATGCTATTCCTGCACAAGCTTAACAATTTGCTTGACATTTTGAAGCTTATCTATAAATAATGCTGCATCACTTTGCTCAACCTCTGGATGGGTGTGAAACTTATTAAAAAATCCAAATATATACAATTTAGCAGAAGTGTTTTTATGTTTAAATGATACTATACAGTGATGTGACTAAAACTTGTCTAACCCAAGAACCCCTATGGGTGACTAGTTTCTCCTTACAATATCATCCCTAAATTACTCATTAAGGTCACAAAAGTAATAGGATGTGATAAGCAACTAAAGAACCTCTTGAATGTTGGACAAATTCTTCTTGACAGCACCTTAGGAAATGTATAGAGAACAGTATGGAGAATATGCATACCAACATTAAGGTGTAAAGTTTAACATCATGCATGTACAAACCTGTGCACCAACAATTCCATTTCCACCATAATACTCATAACCATACATGTGCATAGAGCCTCCTTTCCCCTTAGAACAACCTGTCTTACGACCTTAAGAGATAAAATTGTGTTAAATAAATAGAAACCATACCTGAATTCAAGGATTCATAATCAAAAATAATTTCATAGTTATTGTAAACTCATCCTTCACTTCTTCTAGGATGGACCTGCAATGCAGGTGTCTTATGAAGAACTGCATTAGATATAATGCAAATATGTATGCTTTAAGATATTCAGTGCCCAAAGAGTTGTTGTAAATCAAGAGGAACAACTCTGAACTAGATAGCAACCAATCGCAATTGTTGATCCTCTAAGTGCTAACTCAACAGCTTGGCATACGGCCATCTTTTCATCTTGACATTAGCAGAAAATTTTTTCAGGCATTACACAAAAAAGTGATGACCAATTGTATATATTACCAGCTAATTCACAGAGTATTTCTTTCACTGATATTCCTTTCAAGTAAGTCCAACCGTGACAACGATAAGCAGTGATCAGACTGTCATTCTTGTCCATAGCAGCATCCATTCCAATGCAGCATGCTTCCTAAGAGGAATGAGCAATAAGGCATCACAAAAAAAATATTGAAAAACTTATCCACAGCATTTTATATCAGTTGAAAGGGCTAATGGCAACTGAATAAAATTATTTGTAAGCTCCTGAATGCATGGAGGTTGGTCATTCTAAGGTACTTTTTTGGTACTTAATTTTGTATTTTTCCTGATTGTGAAAAAATTGCCAAATTAAAGACCTCAAAATAGAAATTCTTGCTGAATTTAGACACACACAATTTAATACCCATATAGAAATTAAAACTGGAGAAAAAATTATTAACATTTAAAAACAACAACACATACAGAACATGTCTTGACAAACAATTAAATTATTGACTGGTTTTACTGGTAAGTTTCATTTTGTACCTTATGTTGTGAAATAAAGTTAATTTTAACCCTTTAACTCCCAAGAGTGATTAACATGTAACTTCTCCCTGTAATATCTAAACATTATCTGGCAAACAGGTCATGAGAATACTCAAACTTATCAAGTAGAAGTTGTTATCTTGATCTAACACCAAATTCTTGTAACTTATTTACAAGGAAATATGTGGCAGCCAGAGGAGGAGAATTGACAATCAGATCTTGGGAGTTAAAGAGTTAATGTTTTGCTTGTTTCAGTTTCTCTGGAAAATTTATAAATTCAGACATTTTGAAAATTAAATGAGGTCGAGAGCACTTGATTTGCAAAATTTAATTGCCTTTTTTCATATTTGCCTATTGAAATTGCAGAAATAAAACCTCTGCAAAATACTGTTGCACCAAAATTGCAATTAAGTACCTGCAAATTTAAGTACCAATAAGGTAGCCAATCTAAACTCCTCACTAGGAATTAACCCTTCAACCACTAAGAGTGACCAGCATATGATTTCTCTTTCAATATCACCCATGAAATCAAACATTAAGGGCTTAAGAATAATAAAAATGATCAACAACTACAGAAACTCTTGATTAATAAGCAAATTCTCCTTGGTAGCACCTTGGGAAATGTAACAAAAGTATGGAGAATATGCTTACTGATATTGAGATAAACTTCAAGCAGTCCCTCCTTTTTGGCAAAGTCCATTGCATGAGTCCATGGAGCTCCTGCAGCAATTGACATCACTCCGAGAGCTCCCTGCTGCCAGCTAACATCAAGTTTTTTTGCACTGCATTTTGTTTTCCTCACACAGCACACTTTTCTGAAAAGGAGGGACTGCTTGAAGTCTAATTTTAGGGTTTAAAGAGTTCATAAATGATATTACAATGAGAAATTTTTTGTCTGAACCCAAATGATACTGGTTAGTTTTTAAAAATCCTATCCTACTAGCTATCACACCAATGGTTGTTGCAGTCTGAGGTAATGATACCCTTTGATTAGAGATCTTTGATGAACTCACCTGCCCTGAGTACAAATGACAGAAACCTCTGATGATTTTTGACTTATATAAAGTACTAGCAGCTGTCTCCATTCTCCGAATGATCTGCATCTCTTTGTAATAGTGTAGACCATCTTCTCTGGTCAGTACAGCTTTTTTGGGAGGACCACTATCTAAAAGATGGAGTGGAGAGTCCTGAAAAGAACGCATTTGGGAGATATTAGGTAAAGATAGGTTATCAGCTTTTATTGAACAAGAGATGTTTAAAGTTTATATAGTTTTCTTTATTTAACTTTTAAATCATTATTTTATATATTGATATATCTGTATGTTATTCATTTACTTATTTTATTCATTTATTTTTTGTTTTATTTTTATGGTTGGTTGGTTATCTTAACAATTTTACTGACCTAATATAAGTTAATGTATATGTATTAAATGAAGTATTTTCACACAGGTTAACAACTTATTCACAGAAGCACCAATGATGCCTTAATTTAACCTTTTAACCCTCTAACTCCCAGAGGTGATTCATATGTAACCCCTCCATAGATATCCATGCAAATATTATCTGACAAATTAATACTCCAACTTATCAGGAAGGAGTTACTGTCTTGATCTAACACTATTGTACTAACTTACAAGGAAATGTATAACAGCTAGAGAAGAGAATTGACGATCAGACCTCGGGAGTGAAAGGGTTAGGTAATTGTAGAAATCAAACACAATCAGATGCATTTACCAAATAGATTCCATGTCTGTTCAAAACAGAGTAACATGGAGTCTAATGCTCTTACATAATGAAAGAGCAAAAAGGTTGTTAAGGTGATGCAGTCTATACATCTTTCCTCTGATAGATCATGAGTAATGACCAATCAAAATACTTGTAGAATTCAGCTTAATAGGGAAGTTGTGTATGTTAGCTCGACTACTAGTATTAATAAATATTCTGTATGTACGTAGGTACATGTATGTTAGTTTAACTTCACAACCTTTTATAGGTAAATGTATGTTTGTGTTTGTAAAACATGCTTGAAATATGTGCGATTATTTGATCGATCTGTCAATTGATTACCTGTCTAGAGAAACTTTAAGTATACTGTAATATTTCCTTACCAGTACAACAGTGAACCGAATTGGCGGAAGATACTTACTGATAGCTCAAATTCGGCTTCATTCACTTGACTTGCTAATCCTCTTGAGCCAGTAAGCCACCCTACAAACTGAAAGCCATAAATCAACAAAGTGAATATAACTTCATTTTTTATTAGGTTCGCCTGACTTCCCTCATGTGATCTGTCGTAGAACCATAAGGGAACGAACGAGCCAGTTTCTACGCTCACAATCAACCCTTGATTATTCAAACTCTTAAAACAATTCTGTAAATTTTCATAAATGGACGAAAAGGTAGAACGCCTTTGAATAGGCACAATTTTAGAACAAGGCATTAACTGTTGGAATCAAAACCAATCCTAGCAAAAGTAATGTCTACTCTACTGTCAGTGTAGGAGAGCAGCTTGCAGGTCACACTTTTTTCAGATCATATGCAAGAAAGAGTTCTTGGAAAGCATTCAAAGCATCGCATACCGGTTTCTTTAAGGAATTTACGGCTCTTAATGATGAAAATCTTCTCCCAAGCATGATAAGGCAAGCTTTTTTCGAGTAAAACGTAAAGCCAAATCTCCAGCCCTTATAGGAAACCAACACCAGCCGCTATTTTCAGTCCCAGACTGTCCGTGGCTTATGAGTGACCAGGGAGGGGAGGGTACTCTACAATAAAACTTCATGGACAAATTTCTCAAGTATAACTCTGATCAGAATTTTCTTCTGGAAATTTATTACACAAAATCCACCATTTTAATTTGAACACATGATGTAAGGCTTAATAAAAACTGGCTAAAAATAAATTGGGAAAAAAAGAACTCTCTTTCGATTAATAATTTTTCTCCTGTGTTACTGACAAAATATGTTTTTTACGTTAATCAATCATAGAAACGATCATGTTACGAGATTCCGAATAAATTAAGGACAACGAAATTTTCCCTTCCCACCTATCCCCTCCAATTATTTGGATGGTTGCATAAATTATGCAAATAGTACACTTCATATCTGATGAAGGTTCAAACAATAGATTCGTAAACCACTACGCTGGCGGTTGGTGGCTATTTTAAAATTTTTTACACTTCCTCCCTTCAATTTGTACGCATCGTTGCTTGCAATATGTAAATTAAGCAAGAAAGAAGGCTTTCCATCTGCATACGCAAAAATTTAGGTGTTGCTCTTTTGCCAGACTGATGAATCAAAGATCAAACACATTAATATTTGCGAGCGTTCAAAACTTTGGTGCTCCATTTGTGCAGTGTATGCTGCCTAATTAATAATTATGTCGGACGATATTTATATCGACGTAAACTACCTTACTGAATCAGAAAGGGATGCCATTCTTCAAGTACTTGCCAAGGACGAGGAACTTCGAAAACAAGAAAAACGTCGTATAAGGTAAACTTTGGTAAAATCAATGTTTGGTTTACATCTCACAGGCTGCACACTTTCATCCTTGTCTAATATTTTCATTTATACACGCAATATCACTCGTGAGTTATTCATTGTAATGCCGTAAGATTATTTTTTGTTGTTGATATGGCACCAACCGTTACTTCTTGTAGTGTGTTAAAGAATGAACTCGATGAAATAAAGAAGAAGGGAGCGAGTAAAGAGGAACTCGAATCATCTCGTGTTTGTGCAAGATGTCGAGCACCGCTTGGCTTTATTTTGAACAGTGGAGCCCTATGTCCAAAATGCGAAAGCCGAGTTTGTAAAGAATGTCGAAAAATGACTACTGCTACGTGGCTTTGTATTTTGTGTGCAAAGATCAGGTGATGTATTGAATAGTGACAATAATAGGCAACAAGGAATTAGGGGTCTTCCACTATACATTGTTAAACACTTAAAATTTCTCAGAAATGATGCTTATTCGCGATTAAGGTATATCAACAGACGTAAGTTCAAATCATTTTTAAATAATACCGAAAGACGCTCCACCAGAAAATGTGTCGGTGATATTGGTCCCGTGTAACTAATGTTAATAAGTCAAGCACAATCGGTATAGTCAGCGAGTATCTATACCCAGCGGGTCGCCGTCAATAAATCAACTTTCCTTGTTATCTCAAGGGAATATTTAATTTGCCACTAAAAGCTAAATTAGTTTGTAAACATGGCTGTCACCACAAAATTAAGAACAAGATAAAGTTCATCACATCAATGAGAAAAAAGAGATCACCGCGGATAAATTCGTGATGGTGTTTTACTTATTACTTTTCTGTATTATGACGTCCAACGGAAAATTATTTGTTGAATTCCGCATTCCAGGCTGTTGCTTTGAGACATAACTTCTATTTAAAGATTGTTTTTCACCTTTGTCGTGTGTTAATTACATTTCAATTAAATTGCTATTGCATGATTTAAGTCCAAGGCAAAATCAAGCCAGCATTTATGTATGGTATCTATGGTGACTCTTACGCTGATTTGAATGTTTGTTTATCCTGAAATGTGATAATAATAACTTCTTGTTGAAAAAGAAAAAAAACTATTAACTCTGAATTTGTTGTAATTAGGAGTTCTTTTAAGGGGTTTGCACTGTCTGATATCTTCTATCTCAGGAGGATATTGTCGATTAATTAAATCTCTCAGTAAGTAGGTTTGCTATGATTGGTCAATTTAGCAGGCTGTATTTCACTATAAGGTCTGCTAAATTGAAAGGTTTATTTGAATTGAAATCCTCCCCTTCTATTTAAACCAAGTGATATAATAAAATTTTACTAAACACATTTCCCAGTATGTACTGTGAGTTACTGAACTTCAGTTTTTCTTCTGGCCCATGCTCTTCCTACTTGGGCAATAAATCCAAGCGCAAAAAATAAAAAAAGAACGTATAGTCTGTAACATACAGTGTGGATCTCAACCTTGGTTTGTGTGAGGTATTTATTTTAATAATTAACTCACTTGTGCCTTGTGGTGGAATGAATAAAACAGCTCAGTAAATTACTTTCTCTTATTTACTCTATTTTGGCAAATTTCTGTTTGATATTTTAGGGAAGTAAGGGCTGAATCTGGTGCATGGTTTTTTGAGCAAGAGAAGAGAAAAGGGGATAGGCCACGGCTTTTTGGCTCAGCATTGGTGCGTGCATCCTTTAGGAGGGCAAAACCTCAACCCCAGTCACTCAGTGGTAATTACTATACATTTCCATTGTTTGATTCATAAGATTTAAAGACAATTATAAAATCTTGTTCCCAGAGTTGTCATTCCTTGCACAGCACTCTCACAGAGGGAGACTCTGACACAATACAAGTTACTGCTGTATCTTAAGGGTTGATGACAAATGGTATCAGTTTTCTGGAAATAAGAATTCAATGTGCTTGGGGGAAAATGCTTACAACAAATGATATTCATACTTTGAACAAAAGTTTTACTTTTTGCATTGTAAAATAGAAACCAGAAAAATCTGGTTTTGGTTTTGTCTTTTTACCAGTGTCTCCCATGCCTATTCCTCAATTGCCAGGTAACTGTTAAAGATGCAATTTTTTAAAGTCAGAGTGATTATCTTATGATTATTGAACAGTACAGAAAACATCTTTCATTAGATGTGTCAACTAGTGAACAATTGTTTTCCTGTTTATTTTTTAACATGATTGTGTAATATTGAAGATATTCAATTTTTCTTGTATGTTGTTTATGTCAGAGGACCCAGGCTCTCCTCCTGTGATCTCATTGAACCTCAATAATCATGGCAAGCTTCATAGACCTGTCCCAGTACACATGTCACGTTTGCCAGAAAAAGATTTGGAAGAAGAGGAAGAAAGGAAGAAATTGGCAGAGGTAAATCAAAACTACAGGCAATATGTGAAGGCTAACAGAGTTCAACGGAAACCAGAGGAGGATCAAAATGATACAGATGAACAAGAAAATTTGTCATCATCATCTCAGAGTTCTACACCAAGAGGTAAGAAAAAGTATTATACTCTTGTCAAGGTTACTGAGCCTGCAAATGGTATCATTTAAATTTAATTTTGTTTATATTAAATAATTATAAATTCTCTATATAGCAAAGATTAATTCCACTCAATTGTCAGTGAGTACTTTTTTGAACTTAAAAGAATAATTAGTAAATAATACAATCAGACCTTAATTCATTCTTCATTGTTGTTAGTGATTACATAAAGCTGTGGAACTTGTGAATCTCATTGCTGCACTTCTACTTGGTGGTGTGTTTTTCCTTTATTCGATTCCCACCTTTTATGCTGCTGCATCTTCAAAAACTATGGGTACTGTAAACTACATGGTTGAGTAGCAGATGTTGATCTCACCAGGTGACAGTTCACCAATGTCAGTACTGTGTGTGGAAGGTGTACGCAGTGTGGTGCCAGTGCTCTGTGGAGTTTCCGAATCAGAATTTGGAAAGCAGACTGCATGTATCTGGGCCAATTTTCAGTCCATAGCCATTGTTTTTATCATGTCCTAGTCAGCATTCACATGCCTTTCATTCCCCTAAGGAAATCTATTAAAATAATTCTCTGTTGATGTGGCAAGGTGCTTTATGAGACTGAATGAAAATCTGTCACAAGCACCTTTGACCCATTATCTTCTTGCATATACTACATTTTAAAATCTCTGTCACTGGATAGTATATCATTCAATATGCACCGCATGTCATCAGTCACTGACTCTTTAAGTAATGATGGAAAGCAGTCATCCATCTTAATGAAAGATTTTAATTACAGGCTCACCAGTCAATATTCTAGAGAATGGTGTTGTTGAAGTTGCTAATCAAGAAGAGACAGTCTTTGACAATATGAAAATGCAAGATGACAGTACTACCAGAGAGAATGAAGAAGAAGAAGATGAGTTGCAAGAACACTATGAGCCAGAAATGACTGGAAGTGATGTAAAGGAAGATGACCTCAGTTATAATGGACACCATGTGCAAAAACCTCAGGACTATGAAGAAAAAGTGAATGATTGGAACATCAATGGGGGTGAAGAGAGTCCTGCCCTTGATAGTGAACAGTCCAAAGATGATGCTGTTGTTGAAATTAAAACATCATGGCATGAGGTAGCACATGAGTGGGGTGGAATAGACCAGCCAGTATCAGACACCTATCTGCAGAACAAGTTCCTCAGTGTGAGATCAGCTTCACCTGATTCAGAGACCACTGGTGAATTTTTTACTCCCCTTACCACTCCTCTACAATCAGGACCTGGGACACCTGCTCTCTCAGATTATGGAGCAAGTGAAGGGATGGGTTCAGGTTCCACATCTGATGTGTTTGAGGATGCTGGAGATGTCACACCGATGCAAGGAGCCAGAACTCCTGTGTTAGAACTCTATGAGGATGGTAAGCAACTTCTGATGAGTAAATAATTTTACTGTCAGTGCATTCAATGGAACATGAACAATTTATACCAGGGGCTGATTGTATTCACATGCTGTGACTTACAATACCTTATTGGTGCCAAGCTGAAAGTACTGATAGCTATTTTAAGACACTAAGCAGCAGAAGTGTTAAATATGAGACCCACAGTAACATGCTGAGCTGCACCAATGATGATCTCTACTAGCATTTCATCCCTTAGGAAAAGACTGAAATACTACTTTGTAAAGTCATGCATTTTTAAGTTTTTTATGATTTTTCCTGCCTTTGGTAGACCTACTTATCTGGTCAACTTGTGTAAAATGGTTGTTACCATGAATCAATTATGAGGCCAATGCTACTGTTGCATTGCAGAAAACATTTCCTGTTATTTTTCAAGATCTGTGTTAATATGGTTATAGCGCCTTGTATGCTACCTGTTTAGCTGATTGTTTGATTGATGGACTCACTGATTGAATTATAAACTGAATGAGTGATTGTTTCTATGTAAGACTGGTTAAATGGTTCACTGATAGGTGAATTATTAAATCCTACTATTTCAATTTTAGATTTTTAAGGAAGTGATTAATTTTCTATGTAGTTATTTGTGAGTCCCTATTAGATACCTAGCTACCTTTTCACCCCTGTCCTTCATATCTGGCTGACTTACTGACTGATAGAACTGACTGGCTGACTATGTGATGGCCAGCTGCCTGACAGATTGACTTTCTGACAGGCTGACTTATTACCTGCTTGACTGACTGACCAGCTGACTTGCTGACTGACCGGGTGGCTGACTTACTGACCAACTTGCTGACTGCTGGCCGATTTACTGGCTGGCTGACTCGCTGACTGACAGGCTGACTTACTGACTGACTGACTGGCTGACTGACAGGCCAACTTGCTGACAGACTGGCTGACTGACAGGCCGACTTAATAATTGACTGGCTGACTGACAGGCCAATTTACTGACTGACTGACCAACTTACTGACAGACTGGCAGACTGGCTGACTGGCAGGCCAACAGACTGGCCAACTTACTGACTGACAGGCCAACTGACTAGCTGACTGACTGGCCAACTTACTAACTGGCTGGCTGACTGACTTAATCACTAACTTATTCCCAATTTCTTATGTTTCATCTATTCTCTGGTCGATATAAGGACGTTTTTTGTTTTTTTAATGCAGACAACCCTGGGGATGTGACTATTATCAACCCTGAGATCACATGCACAGATCCTGATGACGTTGTAGAGCCAGAAGAGGGTTACAGGACACCCACACAGGAGGATGACATTGATCAAGCTTTTGCAAGTTATGAACGAGAACACCCTAGTGGACAAACGAAAACACTGCAAGAGCAGCTTAACATTCTTGCTATGGTTAGTGAAACTACATGGATACTTGTATCTTAATCCTTTCACTCCGAAGATCTCAGCAGTAATTCTCCTTACTGTCTGCTGTATAATTTTTATGATGCTAGTGTGGGGAATTTGGTATATTGTCAACTGATAACCCCTTAGTGATATTTTTTTTTCATTCTCATCACTTGTCTGCTTGATATTATATTGATTTTGTAATCACGTGTTTTTCACTGTCAAAAAAAAGTTTCCAGAGTGTTACCTAGCTTTTACCGTAGCAGATGATCTCATGTTCACATGAGAATACTAATTCTCTCTACCTTACAGGGCAGTCGAGAGAGTATAGTAAGTTACTACAGCGATGCAGGCGAGGGTCGGTTTGGCAACGTAACAGTCACAGGTGAGGTGCTGTTCGGATTGAAGTACAACAAACACAAACAGCAGCTGGAAATTCAGATTCACAGAGCTAAAGATATCGCAGCAGCAGACCTAAAGAGGGGACGGTCAGATCCGTAAGTAAATATGAAATGAAGCTCTGATGCATTGTTCTGCAATAAACAAGCTCCTCCTAATATTGCACTGTTGAGTTCCAGCGGACTTTTTTTCGGAGCACATTCAGAATTCCATAGTCGTTAAAGTTTGAACTGTGTCTAAAACTGATACAAAAATGTTTCACATTTCGTTTTTTTAAGTACAGTAGGACCCCGCTAATTAGAACAAGATCCGATTTCCCTCAACTCCATTTTCTCAGTCATTTACTATCAGTTAACGTGAATCCCCGCTAACTCGATCCATTTTTTTGTTTTCCTTGGGAGTTCGAGTTAGATAGGTTCTACTGTTTATGTTAAAGGACAATACTTTTTTCCATAAGCGGCTGTCGATGATGTGATAGGCGGCTTTGCCCGAAAAGGGTCTGTAAGGCAAAACCCAAACAGGAGAGCCTGTGCGCAGGCTAGTCAGTCAGCGTTAAGAGGTCTTACAGGCGGCGGTAGACAGGAAACCCTTGTATATTCATCAAGGTTTAGCCTCGAAATGTTACCGAATTTTTCCTAACTTCCAACTGGTTCTTTACGCGGACAAATATAAATTTAAATCCAAGGATCTTTCATCTAGACAAGGACTAAGGCAAAGAGCAGAGATCAACCTTGTATCTTGGGCCTATATTACTCACTGCTGTCTCGTAACCAAGGATTTGGCCGCTTACTTTTTTGATTTATTTTTCTCCTTTGAAGTTTCAAAATAAGTTTCATCTGTCCATAGGTATGCTAAAGTGTACCTTTTACCTGATAAAACTAAGGGAGGCAAAAAGAAGACCAAGACAAGAAAAAATACATTGAATCCAGATTTCGACGAAATTTTAACGGTAAATATGTGAGAAGTTTTTGCTGGTCCTATTCAGGTATCCAACTTAAAAAGCGATAGATTAATATAAACCCAGAAGTAACAAAGATAAGGAGATTCACACAAGCAGGTTATGTGCACAATCGAATAACTTGAAAATACCATATATATGGGCGTGAAAAACCTTTATGTAACGTTATTGGCGACGACCACTTGGATTAGGCGGAAAAATAACGTAATGGTACATTTTCCGATTTATTAACCCTTTCACCGCCGATAGTGGTTCTCTTTACTGTCTGACGTACAATTTTTATGATGTTAGTTGGGAGAATTTGGTATTGGATCAAACCTTATCCCCTAATTAATAGTTTTCTTTATTCTCACCACTCGTCTGCTTGATATTGTAAGGAGAAATTCTGTCGTGGTCACTCCTTGGAGTCAAAGGGTTAATGTTAACAAAGCAAGCTAACAAGGCCCTTTTTTTAAATCTGTATTTAAAGAACTCTATGCAATGTTTAGCTTAATCTATTTTTGATTTTTATTCCCTTCATGATAGTTTAAGATTGGATTTGAGGAGATGTTGACACGTACCCTGTGGCTTGCATTGTGGAATCACGACACGTTTGGACATAATGATTTCCTGGGTGAAGTGATGTTGCCTCTTGATACTTATCAGGACTCAGGCTTCAGCTGGGATGATCCGTCACCCAACTGGTATCCATTACGAGAGAGAGTAAGTTCATCTAAACAATGGACTCGCTTTATCTCTCTCGGTTTCCTGGCATAATAACCCACTCGGCTAGTTGGGAGAACGAGATAAAAGTTTATGAATCAATGGAAGCCCATCGATCTTAAAGTTTTTTGTCCAGTTGAGAAATGTCTTTTTTTTTCCGTCTGTGGCCTTAACGATAAGAAAAACTATTTGTTTCTGATCAGTCTGAGTGCACGTACTGTCCCAGTAACGTTATTTTCCTGTCATACTATTCACGGGGGAGAAGTGGTGACCATAAGCGTTAATAAACAAAGATGTCAAACGAATGACTTATTCCGTAATTGTAATAGAAACTTGTTGAAAATTCAACGGGTGGGAATTTGACGAGGAGTCTTATCCAGAGTGGGTGAGTAAAAATTCATCCCGCGACATGGCGTGGAGTAGAATACAAGACTTCAGATTGCAAGTGCAGTCCCTTGACAGTAGGCCACACAGCTCTTATGTTAGAGGGAGTGGCACTGTTTCACAGTGTCTACAGCTGTTAAATCAGCCAAAAAGTGTTGGAGGATAACCTTGCGGTAGACATATCGTACAGGTATGTGACTTTGCTGCTTTTGTTTTTTTTTCCTGAACCATAGCGACCAGAACCGTCCCTAATGTCGTACTGTGGAGATCTGACGGTGTCACTGATGTTTGAACGACCGGAGGAGTCGTCTAAAGACAAGAAGAAAAAGAAGAAATCCGGCGGCAAATTACATATCAAGTTGAAGGAAGCACGGAACTTACCTGCCAAGGATGCCAATGGCTTCTCGGACCCCTTTTGTAAAAGGTACTTTTATGTTAAATATAACAACGAACATGTACATATCTTGAAACTAGCTTGCGTCAGGTTCTCGATCAGTGGAGAAGTTTGATAAAGGAGGTTAGCCAAAGAATCGGCAGCCGTTCCGGGAAAGTGAAAGACAAATCAACCTGTAAGCATTATTTTTAACACGTAATTTTTGGATTGTCGCCCTCTGGTGTATTCTCTGATTGGTAGATTTTGACATTTTACACCACCAGCTCATATTCATTCACGCGCACGCTTCATGCTGCCGATTCGAAATGTGACAAGCACGTGCCCATTCAGGCATTTCTATCTCTGCCTCTTTTCCAGCCCTGCGCTTATCTCCACTCCCCCGCTCTGTCGATTTTTTCCACAGAACCGTGTGACTTACACATACATTTTTTTAAGTCGAGAACGGAGACTTATTATTATTGTTGTTGTTGTTGTTGTTTTAATCCAGGCGCCTAGCGTCAATTTGTCGTTAGTGGCGACGAGATTTTAATACTAAGACAAAACGCCCTACGTGAAGGGGTCCTTGTAAAGATCTTTATAACCTCATGTTACATCGCCCGCCCTCCATACAGAACAACTACTGATTCCCCCCCCCCCCCCCCCCCCCCACCTGCTTAGGTTAGTGCTGAATAATGCTTCCTCAAACCTGAAATTTTTGCCCCTAAGTTACACCTTGACCTACTAACTTGGTCCCTGCTTTCAGTAAACTGGAAAAAGTAAGGTAGTTTCAAGAGTGTTGAAAAGCAGACTCCTCCTCTTGCGTTAAGCACTTACACGTTTTAAGCAATCAAGACTTACGATCATGTTCTTTCTTCTTACAACTTGCATACTTTGTGTCGATGTTGTTAAGAAAATTAAGATTCTCTTCACTTTCGGTTACTACTGACGGATCTGGGTAAAACTCTCTCCGGTGGATAGCTCAACACGTTTCGTCAACACTTATCCACTGGGTAGCGATTTATCTGTTGTGGGGCGTTATCTGCCCTTTGAAGAACTGGGTCCCGATGTTTAACTCGAACGGTAAGGCCTAAGGTCGCTTATAATTCGCATGTCGCTTGAAAAAGAGGAGAGCCTTGTCATAGACTTATTATGCAGGGGTTGATGCCCGATGTGAGTCGCAGATTAACAGACTTACCGTTGATCTAAAGTTGATAGCTTGACTACACGATTGACAGTGATTATGTCGTGACACGAACGGTTAATTTTTTTTTATCCATCGCGATCACGATGAAAGAACACATCCGCACATCTTTATGTATGTGATCTGTCTCGCGGGACCTGATATGCCTTCTCTCTGCGTTTTGTAAGAGTATTGTCCATCTAAGTACCTTTGTGGCTGCGACATTGAATTAAAGGAGTCAAGTCGTTATATACTGTGACCTTTTATACTTTGCGTGGTATTACCTAAAACGTGAAGAAACTAAGTGAAGATCAATTTTTACTTAAGCTCTTTTGAAAAATTTTCTTTTGAGGTATTTTTTTGGGGTGTGTTTTGCTTCCATCGTATTGCATGATAAAAATCGTATTGTGCCACTCTATTAACCAGATAATGGTCAGTGCTAAGAGAGTAGTGTATATTGCCCAGCAAAACAGATTAGGCTACTGATTACTGTCAGACTAATTTAGAATTGCCATCTGCGCAGTGTAATTAATTCAACTTGGCAAAAGAGTTCGTCTCGTTTACATTTACATGTAGCTAGATTGAGAATTTTTGAAAGTCTTTTGTGGCAATAGCATTGATTGGATTTCTGGGAATTCTTTGTCTCCCAGTTGAGCGTTTGCATCTGGACTCTGTAAAAACTAGCAAATATGCTTGGCTTTTAACGGACAGGTATTTTCGTTTAGTACACTGCAGTTGGTTTTCGATTGCTTTGATTTTACCTGCCTTTCCTGATGTGCGTTGAGTTACATTTTTGTTTTGTTTTGTTTTGATGAAATTAGACCTTTACGTATTCCTTCGCCAAAACTTTTGCTCGGTTTTCGTTTAGTTCAAGACCAAAAAAATTCTGAATGAATAATTCTTGAAGATTAGAATTCGATCCAAAAGTTTTGATAACTATCAGAGTGGCGTCATTGACATTAAAGGGCCAGAAATGCATGAATACTTTCATAACTTGAATTAAGATTGTTGATTTTTTTCCGCTCTTTTCCTATCGGGTGGAGTGTCTAAATAATAACATTGTGTCGAATATTCCCGGTTTTATTCACCATTCTTGTTTTCTCTTAGCATATACCTTAAATTTTCACTTTCCTCTTTTAAGCATTGCCGGCATCGTCAAACCAGTCTCTACTAATATTTCGGTTGCCCTTGGATACCAAAAATGTTTTACTCTGTGGACTGAATGCGTCTATATTGTGGAGACTATGTTTTGGAAATAAAACATACCCAGCTTATTCTGTCTGCTAACTGTAAATATTAAAAAATTTGTGAACATCACAAATCGCTTCCGCTAATTTCCGCTACTGTGGTTCATTTGCATTGCTAAAACATCTGTGTATACAAGTTGTCGTTTATAAAAGCGAATTACTCAGACAAACAACAATCACTATAGTGTGATCTTATTTTGGTTTACGTTCAATTCTATAAGCACTTTTCAAGGGGGAAACTGCCATTATTGTCACACATTTCGCAAAAGAGATTGAGTGGACGAGCTGTAAGTCGTTTCTTCGTTCATTTTTTTTTAATTGTCTTAGACTGTGGCTCTTTCTTATCCCCTTCATTTGTATTTACGACAATCTATCGCTCTTGCTCTATCAAATTTACGTTTAACTTCGTTTTGTCTTTTTGTCGTCGAACTTTATTTGTTAAATTGTCCTGAATTCTGCTGTAGCTTATGTTGACTGTCCAAAGTGTATCGAAAATATTTCAATATTTTCACCGAATTTTTGGTTTATTTTTTGGATCTTTCTGACAGGTTGGCCAGCAAAGCGTCAAACAATGCAATTTTGTTTTCTTAGTTTCTGTTTTAGTCCGGAAGAATGGTCTTGTCATACTTCCGTCGTAAATTGGTTGTTAAAAGTAGAGATAAAGCGGCTTTTCAGATCTGCGTCATATATGTTCGATCGACCTCACGCTATTGTATGATGCAGGATTCCGACAAAAAAGCGTAACAGGACAACTTCGGTAACATGCTGCCTGATAAACTTGTATATTTTACTTTTTTCCTCCTTTTTTAATTTGATGTAACGAACAGAAAACGTTAGTTTTAAAGTATTGCTTGAACGTTGACTGTAACTGCTGGCCAAGGCTGTCTTGCATGTTTGTGTTTTTACTGTTACTTTATTGTTGTTCGAAATACCTCAATGCTATTGTTAGAATCATTTGCCTACAGATGTGCTTTTTAATACACCTCCTTGTGTTATTTCGCATTTTACCTGAAGTTTTCTCAAGAGTATTTTCCTTCCTTTTTTTGTGTCCTTTTTAAAGCCAAAAAAAAAGCCTTTCGCAAAGATTTTTTGAAAAGTGCTTGCTCGATATGAACGAGGTCAATGCTTGAAAAAATTTATTCATCGAATCGCAGCATCAATTATTCATAACTCGTGAGATAAACCATGTTTCAACACCTGGTTTCCGTTTCTTAGTTTTTCTATTGGTACAATAGTTTATAATAGTATTACGGATCAAGCACTTTGTCACATTGAACCCTAACTGCATGTGGCAATATTTCATTCGTTGCTGTGTGTTTCTTTTCCAAATTCAAATTGCTTTAAGCGATCAGTGACTCTTTGCTGTAGCTTTCTTGTGTCCACGAATCAGTGCTTTCACCGTAGAAAAGTTGGTGATTTGAACTTCATATCATAAAAATGTGTAGTGTTTTGTGGTGTACGATAAATATCCTGACATGGTTGGTTCAACAACCGTTGAATATGATTTTGATATCAAAATTTTGCCATCGACCAGGAGTGAAGAAAAAACCTGTGAATATTTAGTATAGATGCCGCAAGTTGTCGTGAAAGACTTCAAAAAGTGTGGAATAACAGCACGAATGCGATAAAAGATGTACCTTGGTGAATTATTACTAGTATTAGTATATATCACACTGGTGAATAGTGCTTTTCGCGCGCGCTGATTGGCTGGCTCAGAAGTGAATAGCAAGTGCTATTTAAAAAATTGAACCACCAATATTCACCTTTACTTTTGTGAATAATTCATCATTATTATCACTTTTACCGCCAGTATTACTCTTATTTTACCGATTACCACTGCTTTTATTATCACTATTCATATTTTTAAGGATTTAGCTGCTTGTGGTTGCAAAAAGCCAAATTCTTACTTAAACGAAAAATCAGTATCAAACCCTGTATCAAACCTACAGGAGCTTCTTTTGTTGTATTGACTTTTTGTAACATTCTTAACTCCGTAGCACTGTTTATGATGGTACTTTTAGCATTTACTTGAGTGTCAACTATATTCATGAGGTCATGATAATCATGTACTTAACATACCCTCTTCACTGATGCTATGCCAAAAGGAACTCGTGTGCTACTAGAATGAGGGCAGTCCTTCTTTGTTGGCTTAGTCCGTCGCGTGAGGCGTAAGTAAATGACAAGTAAATTAAATTTTTCTGCGCGATTGACTAAGTTTGCCAAGAAGGACAGCAATTAGTCTAGTGTGCAACTCTACCGCCACACCTCTCCATCCTTAATCTCTTGCTACACCCATTATCTACTTTCACCAGTTTCAGTTAAGTTTATTTCTCACCGCCCGACGCAACGCAATAACTTATAAATCTGTTACATCGTAAAGAATAGGTTTCCGTAACGAAGACTTACTGACAATACGTGGTTTGGAATGTTATACTTTTTTGTGAGTGACGGATTGTCATCAATGTTTAAGTTGCTTCACGTAAGCTTAACTTGCACATTGCCATCAGTTACCTCTTACCAGACCAAAGCAAAAAGACCAAACACAAAACTCAGGTGGTCAAAAAGAACCTCAACCCTGTGTGGAACCACGCCTTCTGTTATGAAAACTTGACGATTGACGAGCTGAGGAACCGTGTCCTAGAGCTGACCGTGTGGGACTACGACCGAGGTTCCAGTAATGATTTTCTCGGAGGTTTGAGATTGGGCCTTGGGAGTAAAATAGAGTCGTGGGACGACTCGCAAGGAATGGAACGAGAGGCGTGGCAGATGATGCTCGAACGACCCAATAGTTGGCACGAATACACCCTGAACCTGCGATCAAGCATGGATAGTCAAGTAGATTAAGCACGCATGCGCTCGATACTCGGAATTAAAGTTAAAATGAAGTAATACTTCCAAAACATATATATGGACCAAAGAATACAAAAAAAACAAAAACTTCCTGCACACACTGTTTTCGCGAACGTAAAGTATTTCATGATGTGAAACAGGGTTTCTTTTAGCGCATCGATGGAAATTTAAACACAAAACTTCGGCCATGGAAACGAATGGCGTGGCCAATATTATTGAATTCGTAATATTTCTGGCACGTAATGTAACGGAATATTATTTAACATTTTGAAAAGGCCTTAAATTTTGGCAGGTTGGTATTTGCATAAAAGTTTTGCCGCAAATGGAATATATTTTTGTAAAACATTGTTGGACTTACATTTAAAGACGTTGTTGTTGTTGTTGTATATATTTTTAGCGAGTTTTCGTCGAATGAACGGGTTTCAATGTAAGTGTGCTCTGAATTTTTTTGACGTATCTCGTGGCACATTATTTTCATATAAAGGAGCCTTTTTCAACGTCAACTTAACATTTTTCGTTCGAGGTCAGTTATGAATGTTTTCTATCGAGAACACGTTAGAGGTACGTTATGCGAACAACTTCAGTTCTCTCAGCGTATCACAATCCCTCCTGTTACGAACTCGTACACAAGTCAAGCCTTCTCGTTTTTTTTTTTGGGAGTTACTCCACGAAAACGGGCGTTGATGCGCGAAAAAATGTTTCGCGTATCAACCTGAGATTGTTCAACTCGCGTTGTGACAAGTTCATGACCAAGTTGTTGCTCGCATAACTTATCTTCTAGAGCTTGCTGTTTTGACTCGGTGCTATTTCGAACTAACTTCATTCTATATTTTTGGTATTAAAATCCATGTAATCTTATTTGATAGTTGTGTTTTCTTTCCTGTTTTCTCAGTTCTTTTCATCATGGTAGCCAGAACAATTTCTCAGCTCGTATGGCTGTGCAGAGGAAATATTATGTTCTTCTTGAAAGCCGAAATCAAAATAGTAAAGGCTTCTCTTCTACTCTGAAACAAGATTGCCCATAAGGGTATTCCACCATAAGAAAGGTCCTATGCTTTTCTTAAGGTGATCCTTTATGGATCAACATCAGTATCTGGGCAACTGCCCACCTACCCCTCCCCTAACTCAACAACAGTCAATTGACAACAACTTAAGGTTAATGTTGGGTTGGGGGAGGGGTAGGTAGGTAGTTTCCCAGATACTGATATTGATCCGGATTTATTTCATCAAGTGTCAATTGTAGAACTTGTTACTAATTCGATGATGTTCCTTAAAACCTAGAAGTATTTTATCTCCATCTTGTAAGGCTGTGAGCGACCTACTTATTTAATTATTTCTTTTCAGCGCTCATGTTTGCTCCTTCCTAATTAACACAGTGAGTGAAGTCTGATCAATAGTTTCTGTAAACCTTTAAACAGCTAACGTTAATGGTCAATGTAACAGTCCAAGATCCCATCTAAAATCAACATTTTCAAAGAGAAAAACCCTCGATTACTAATTCAATGCTATAGCAATATAAGCTTAAAACTTTGTGTTAGATTTAAAATCAGGTATTGGTTAGGTCGCACCTGTTAGTAATAATGATATTTGATCCTCAGAGCCATTGTCAATTTAACAGCTATCTATCCTGAAATGAAGTAGGTTTCAAAATAAATCCAGGTTAGTAGTTAATCTTGAATGCATTGTTAACTTTATAAAAATATTTCCAGATATGAATTGGACATGATATTGGTTTTTACTGAACAATCGCCAGTACTTAAATGATAATATTAACTGGCCGTGACTTATCCCACGTGTGTTAGTTTCCCACAAAGCCCCAACCAATGTCGTTCATGTAACTTATAAAAATGATATTGACCATTTAAGTTGACCATGAATGTCAACAGCTTACCAATGCAGCGTTAATTCTAGGGGGGAAAAGTAGAACTTCTGCTTAAATTGCAGCAAATTTAAAGCTATAAACATGCTCCTTTATAAATCCCCTTAAAACACGAAAAATAGCGTTTATTTACGTTATAAATGACATGTATGGAATACAGTAATTCATCCATATAACCCAATGACAATATTTCTCTTTACCAAATTTAAGGAGAGTACTTCTACATTATTTCATGTACCTTCATAACATTAACAAACGAAAAAACTAAAACTAAAATATGAAATACAATGTTCATTTACCCTATAAAGACTTGAATAGAATTCAATAATTCGACATCTTGAACCCTGCAATATTCCCATAACATATAACTACTTTCTTGTACCAAACTGTAGAGAGAGTATGTCGTCTCACTGGTATGTTATTTATAGTGGTAATAGGACCGAGTGGAGTCCAATTCGGTCTGTAATTATACGAGTGATTGACAAAATCGGACGAGCGCGAAGCGGGATCACGAGTGTGATTACAGACAGAATTGGACGACAAGAAGTCCTGTTATTAATTAATCATAACCATTTCAATTTCCGAAAAAACAACCTAAAACAAATATCTCTAGTGGAGACAATGTCTTTTGTTTAAAATATCTCCAGTGGAGGCAATGTCTTGTTTAAAATATGTCCAGTGGAGACAATGTCTTTTGTTTAAAATTCCCCAGTTTTTCTTTAGATAGGTGGTTGTTGCAATGGTTATTGTGATCATTTCTGTTATTGGTGGGTTAACTAAGTGGACTTAGTACGATTGGTGGCTTCAACTGTCCGATTACAGGTGTCCGATTACAGCAAACTGTCCGATTACATTGTCCCAGTACAACTGTACCGAATGATAAAGGGATGCACCAATAATATTTGAGGAATTGGTAATTATAATTAGCAGGGTAATCAATTTAAATTTTTTGACCAATCGACTTACAGTTGGGATATTTTTCTGAATAAATTCCTCCCTTCTTAGTCAGGTACTTGATATGATTGGCAACATCAGGGGCAAATTGTCGAAAGAGATGTATTGCTTTTTACGATAAACCAGCTCTGTCAAGGGGGTATTGAAGCTTTGTCAAAGGGTTTTTGTGCAAAATCCGTCGGTAGCGGTGTCCTATGCGTGTTCAGAATACTTTGAATGCTTTATATATCAGAGCTTAGGCCACTGCAGACCATCTCGTATCCAGGGTCTTCACTTCTCATTAAACCGGTAAGAAAGATCCATCAGAGCTGACTGCGATAAACAAAAAAACCTGAATACATAATGGTCTCAGAAGAAGCTTTTAAAGAGTTCGGTAGTAGACATTTTGGTTATTGAGTCAATAGTTTAAAAGCGTCATAGACGAACGACGCCAGCGGGCTATTTAACTGTTTGTTTGGCTTCGTTGAGACAGTTATTCTCTTTCTGCATTTCGTTTCCCCTTCTTTACCGGCTTAAGGGTCAGATTTTGTGTTTTGATCATGACTCCTCGTCAAGATAAAAAACATAGAGAAGAAAGTACATCTTTTAAAGACAAAAAAAATTGTCAACCTTCAAGGATGATGATGGACACCTTTCTATAAACACACCTTTGCGGAGACACGATTTAACATAGGTGTTTTGTTGACACGTACTTTTCCACTGGCAAGACGTTACCTCTGGAAGGGTAAACAGAAGTTCCTTCAATTTACTGCTAAAAAGAAAGAATTTTCTAATCAAACTTTATTATAACATGACAGGATTTTGTTCCTTGTTAATTACTCAAGAAATGGTCGACCTTTTGTCTTCTCGAAATTTCCTTGTCAAGTTCCATTTCGCACTAGACCCTGATATGCTGCTGGTTCAATTAGCAATCATATGAGATAATACTAAGGTCATTTAAACCTCATGAATAGTCAAAATAGATATTAATTATGTGGTCGCTCACTTTTCTGAACAGAAGGTAAAGTTCTGTTATCAAAAATGTTGGTCTGATAGCGGCATTGCGTTCTAAACAATATACGTATGATTTAAAGTTGGTGATGTTTTTTCAAAAGTCACGGCTCAACACCAGTTAGTCCAACATCAGTTTCTTTACGGCTAAGAAAGAAATTAATTAATTTTGGTGTCAATAATTTCACGTCTGTCGTGAACAACTTCGTGTTGAATATTCCCTCGTATTTCCAATTAATAATACGACTTACGCCTTTTCTCTAAATGACTAAAACTCCTATCCTTGTGGAGTTTCATGAGTTCTATAGGCCCTTAATCCCTGTGATACCTTTGAAGTTACTTGCTCGTATGGTCGTGATCTCGAATTGCGATTTATCTCCTACTAAACGTTGTCTCGGTTTTCAAGTTTAATTTTTTTAACAACTTACCGGCATAATGTATTCATCCGTCCTTAAATAATTAACATAACAATTAAAAGTGGCTTATTAATGAGGTGAAAGATCCGGCAAAATACAAAGTTTATGATGAACAGCCATTGCCAAGAGCTCAGTCATGAAGTCAATTATAATTTGACTATACACACGATTAACAGCGACCCATACGAAAATTCTGCTAGCGTTGAAAAGCTTCGAACTGTTGACGGTTATTCAAACGTTATAGAACACCAATATCTATCACTTTTTTCGCGTTGGAGCTTCTAAAATTGATTTAAATCAACCATTTTAAAGAGGATCTCATTTTATTTTTATTTTTCACATTGACACTCACAAACGATCGATTTTCACTTTTTTCAAGCTGATATCCTCTTGAGACCTACTGATTCCTGCCAAGTTTCGAGGAAGCGTGCAAAATAATTGGTTTCTAGACAACGCAAGTCCTAGTCAGAAATTGCAGGCATATTCAAATTTGATTGGTACGGTGAGACATTCAAATTTTGACGTTTGTTTTTTTTTGTTCCGTGCATACTTGTTTATTCATGAGACGGCCGGTCGCTATATGCAAGAATTACGCTGACTCGTTTGCTATTCATTGAGCAGCTCATTTTCCTTCTCTTACTCCCGTTTTGCACAGTTTGTTTGGCAGTTTTGATCAAATCTGTTTCACCAGTTGAAAGTGGAAGCCTGTTTGAAGCTGGTGGCCGGAAATATACTTCAATATGGACCACTTCACTCGCCTGCTACCGTGAGTTGCATTTTGTAATTGTAGACGCGCATTCGTTCGACATCAATATCCCTTCCTGTGCGGAGCGTTTCTTTTCTAAAATTTTCCGAATGAGCCTCCGACGACAAAAACTTGTGTTTTCTGAATTCGCAGTTTTCTGGAGCTAGTTTCCCAGTCGTTTTTTCGTCCAATCGACATTTTAGCGCGAGTTTAATTCCCGGCGTGAACACTTCATTTCAATTTCTTCAGGCGTGAGAGAGTTAAAGTTTCCGTTCTGACTTCATACATCTGCTTAGAAGAAACTATCACCGTAATTAAACTTTTGAACTGTAAAAGATGAACGCTTTCATATCGTCGGTGTAGCATTCGTCATCATAATTCGCCAAAAAGAGTTTCATAACAAACGCCAACAAACCACAGGAGTGGAGATTCACCAAATACTACTTGTTACTGTAATTTCGATGTCGTATCTGATACTAGTAATAAAGTATTCACGATGAGAAAGGACCAGAAACATTTTTCTTACGTTATTTTAGAATTCCTACCCTTGTATTACACACTAAATAAAAATGCCTTCTTTTTCCGACTATCTGATTCGAATCAAAACCAATTACGAAAGCTCCAGTGTCTATATGTAGATTTAGAATATATTATCTTGCGTGCGATTCGAGGCCGTCAACAAGTTAAATGCCCATAGGAAGTCTCCAGCCTTCTTTAACGGTGAAAATCTATTTTGAAAAACTTTAGCTTTAACGAGATGTTTAAGTGTAATTGCAAACCGCCAATTGCCATAATAAGATGGTTTTAACGGCTAGCTCAATAAAATACAGTAAAAGCGTTTCAACACTCTACTTGGAGGAAATTAGTAGACCTATTAAACTGCGGTGATAATACATTTTTTTTTACTGAAGTAAAAGGTAATTAGTTTTCATAATTCGTTTTGAAACAGTTTCTGGAAACAAGCGAAAAACGATTGAAATTCATGGCTCACCAAAGCCTAGACAAAATGTTTGGATCCTAACATTCTGGCCCAGGTTGACCGAAAGTTGGATAACGTTATCCACTGGATAAGTCTCTATCCAGTCAATAGCACATTGTTTAGATTGCACTCGCCCGCTGGATTGTGATTTATCCGTTGGATAGCGCGATACTCCCATTGAACAACTGGGCTCCGTATGATAAACATTTCAACAAAGTTACAGTTAAGATATTTTACCAATTCATTGTGAAACGACAGCAATAACTCATAGGTAATTCCACTGAATTTATTCCTTGTAAAAACCTGATTAAATATTTGCTAGGCGTTCTCAAACTCTTTCGAGAAAATGTGTAAAGCCTTGATTGCGAAATAAATTTTTTCAGCAATCGAACTTGCTTTAACGATACGTGGTGTACATTTTCCATTCTGAGAATTAAATTGTGTGCGTTTGAAACATCTGATTCAGAAAAAATTGCCTTGAAATGGTTAGCTTTTTTCGGTTCTATTCAATTGGGAGCCATTCATTGGGTAATCTAACTACAGTTCTCCGTCCAAAACATTAAATGTGATCACAAAACAAGAGTGTCGCCAAATTATAAGTAAACCGAGAAAAAAGCCTAAACCTGCATCGATCACGAGATCGGTACTTAAATATTCTTTTAAAAAAAATTAAGTATCAAATGTAGAAATTAAAGAATAACAGGCTATGGCCTAAAGAGGAATATAATACGTTTGTGGAACTAATTTTTTAAAGTAGAATTTAATAGTTTTTAAGTTGTTGTTTTCTGTAAACGTTAAATAGTCAATAACTTATCAAATAGGACATGCGAAAAACTTTTTGGTTTGATTTTCTCGTTTTCTAAGGGCCTATTTACACGGTACGACTTTGTCGCATGCGACAAGCTTACGACAGGCTTACGACACGAATTGTTTCGTGTAAATCAAACCTACAACTCGCTTACGACTCTTAAGTCATGTCGTAGGCCTGTCGTAAGCTTGTCGCATGCGACAAAGTCGTGCCGTGTAAATAGGCCTTAACGATCCTCTCGTTTTGTGGAACAGTTCGCTGTCCATAGGTATGCGAAATCGATTGGTGATCACGAAAATATCAATTTATGACGAAACCGACGATCACGCCAGATAAGGCAAAGGACGCACTTTTGAAATATTGTGTCATCTTCTAATTGATGTCCCAATAAAGCGCAGATAAGGAATGTTCTAATATATTCATGTTTGCTACACTGTTTTTTGTTGTTTTGTTTGTTTGTTTCTTCGTTTGTTCGGCTTTTTTTTTTCAGTGTAACAAACAAATATCTTAACTTACCCAATTTATTGATGATCTGATGAACTTGGCACATAAATGAGATGAACTTATTTGACTTAAGTGATTGCAAATGCTTGAGTGTCTTTCAGTCGTTCAGGAATATTCCAACATGTTTTCAATCATTGATAGGATCCTTTTTAGTTAGGAGTTTTTAAGAGCAAAATTTTGAAAAATGTAGCTTGGATACTAAATTAAATATCAAATCTCCACGATGAAACCTTATTCTCTAGTCGTATTCATTCTCTAGCAAAAGTTTGAGGAGTTTCTCGAGTTAAGCCGCCATTTTCGAGTGGCACGCAAAATTTGTTTTCATGGAAGATTAGCATGGCAATGCAAGGTGAAACCCGACCACCATAACTGGAAGAGGAAACCAGAAAGAACCACAGGATAATTCGATTAAAAACTTGTAAAATTTAAGAGGGATGCGTACAGATCGACTCCAAGTTGTCTATGCTTTGGTAAAAATGTCCTTGGCTCTTAATTCTGCTCCCTTTACTTTTTATAAATGAAAATTAGAATTAAATATAGATCAAAACTCGGCTACAGAAAGAGTGTATTACGGTGGTTTCAACTGCAGCTTTTTTTTTCTACGTGTTTTAATTCAAAGGAGCTTCCCGAAATTATTTGACAACGATAAAAGTGAAACAAAGTCAGAGGCGAATCCAGAGACTGACCAGACCGACAATAAGACCCAGACTCCCGCGGAACAACAGCCTTTGGTGCCGTCACAAGAAAATCTTGCTTTTGAAGAAGACGAAAAACACTTGGAACCGAAAGATACCTCAGCTGACTCAGCCTCTTCTACATTAGAAACCACGGTGGAACCAATGGAGAGCGAAAAATCATCTGACACGAAAGAGCTGGAGAAAGTAGCAGACGACTCCGGGATTTCTGTTGATCACGTGAATGGAAACGACGTCATTTCAACAAAGGAAGAGACAAAGGAAGATGAACATGATCAGGGTCATAAAGTGAAGCCTGTTCTTGAATCCATAAGTACATTCGCCATGCAATTCATGGAAGCCAGCGCACCCGAAATCAAAGTGGATAAGCCCCAGACACTGTTCTCGGTTGCAACAGAAGATGCTGAGGATGCTCCACCAGGGAAACCTCCCCAGTCGCCTAGGAGACACACGGAACATAACATTAAAAATAGGCTACTCGATAAGAATTCGTTATTACCAGAGGCAGCTCTGACCAAGAGGCGACATAGTGATTTTGCTGTTTCGGCTCCTCGGCCCGTTAATGATGAGCTGGCTACACAAGACTTGAAGAAGCGCGGTTCAGTTGGAGCAGGTATTACTTAATTATATATATAGCGGAGCTCCTGCTTGCAGAGAATGCAAATGAAGCCCGACACTTAGGAAAAATATAGCAACCCATATTCATACGTCCCTTTGTTATCGGCTCAGTTCTTCAATTATTATTACTATTTTATTTTATGACTATTGTACTAAATAGATACACCCTTTGTTTCAGTTTGTTTGAACCATTTTGTTATAGTGTACCCGATTAGTAAGCTTCTTGTGGCTAGCTAGAAGACTTAGACTCTTAAATAAAGTCGTTAATTGATTGATTGATTCGGCTATATTTCTGTACTCTCTCGCGCTTAACTTTAGGACTTATTACAAGGGATCTTCCGGGAAATATTACGATGAAGGTGATGCTTATCTTTCAGTCACCAGAGGAAACTCAAAAAGCTAAATCAAGTGTTTCCTTGAGAATCGAGAGGATAAACATAACAATTGAAGTTTTTAACCCATAGGAAGCAGTAATACTTTGAAACGAGCAAGATTGATAAGAATAAAAAATGACTAAATTGGAAGGCCATAGGTAAATTTCTGAGATGTGCCAATCATTCCATGATGCAGTTCCTTAATTACAGGAAAAGTCAAAAACCATCGGCTAAGTTGTTTTTTTTCTTTTTAAGGACAAACTACCGCAAGGAAAGGTTCTCATCCAGACGTTATCAGAGCTGGTCGGGGACCCCAATGGTCACCAAGTCTCGAAAGGAAACGTCTTGATGAGGCAAAGAAGGGGAAAAAGAAGGACGAAAGAAGGAAGACTTTAGCAGAATTAGCTTTAGAAGCTGGTTACACAGTAAGAACGATGTGAATTAAGCATTGTTACGATGATTTTGATGCCTTATTAAATTATCAATGGCTAATGAGCCCGAATGGGATGTTCTTCTCATCTCATTCCTCGACAACCTGATCTTGTTTCCCGTATTGACTATCATAAAAAAATTTTCACAGCCCAACATTGAGACAGAAACGCCTGTATATCACACTGGATCGTTGCAGGTCATCAAAGCAGATCCATCTAAGGTAACTTTGAATTTTTTGACAGATTTATCAAATCGAAATAGAAACTTTTTGACAAACTTTTAATCTTTCACTGAAACTTCACTCTCGTTTGGTCTTTCGCTTAAAGTTTTTTTTCATTCATCACGCTATTTAGAACATAAAACTCGAAACACCTCAAATATCAAGCACGTACACATCCAGGCTATATGCAAGGCCTGACTCCTTGATGGAGGAAGCACATGGGACCGAACAAATACCGCTTGTTTTTATGATTTGCATTTTCTAAATCAAACATCTCTGCCGCAGAATAATAATAATATTTTCACCTTGTCTAACGTTCGCTCAGGGAAGTTCAGAAAGCTTATTGAGTGAGCCTGGTGAAGAACATTTTAGCAGTGTGCCCGTGACTGGGGAAGTGTTTGTGAGCCTGCGATATGAGATGCCGTCCAAAAGGTTTGAAGTACATGTCCTCAGCGCTAACAATCTGTCTTCTGCTGATGCAAAAAGATCTTCCTCTGATCCGTGAGTATGGCTCCTCGTTCTGAAAGAAGTCTTAAACATCAGCAGTATGCTATAGGTTATAAAAATGTATTTTCGATAAAAAGAAACCAGACTTGGGACAACGAACTCTCTTGAGTTTCCACTGAAGGTTCTGATCATGCACAGCAAGTTAAAATTTCACTTTTAAAGAGATGTGGGGATGAATAAGGCCTACCACTTCAACGAGATTCCTTTTTGACAAGTAACTATTATGAAGTTATCATTAGTGCTATTAGTCACAGATCTCTCACCCTTAAAATCAAAATTGCATGTGTTCTTACCTCTGACCCGACATTTCTAAAGAGCTGTCTCTATTTTCAGTTATGTGAAGACATACCTCCTTCCGGACAGACGGAGCAAACGCAAGACAAAAACGAAAAAAGATACCTTAAATCCACACTTTGATGAAATTTTAGAGGTAAATTGATTGAGCACAACACTTGAGTATTCCCAGGCTTTTCCTTATTATGTTACTGGCAACAATTTTAGGATTCTAAAATTTTATCCTCTTATTAATCATTATCAACATTAGTCATTATTGTCACAATTATTAATACATAGTCATTATTTGGGTCGGAACCCATGTCACCAAAGATACATTCATCGGCATCGCAATGGGCAGCGTGCATGCCAGAAAAAAACTGGGTGTGACACACGAATTCGAACTCTCTGTGAAGAAACAAACTTGAAAAAAAAAAGAAAAAAAAGCGAAGTTGCAGAAGAAAACTGACGTTTTGTCTTCTTTTCCAGTGGAGTTTACCGGGGTGACCCTCAAATTTATTAATTCCATTCCTTTTCACTGGCTCGTTTCCAAAACATCCAACTAAATTAAATCTAATCTTATCTAATTTCTATGCTCAACCTTTTTATTTTTCTCTGCAGTATTTCATGGGATATGACGAGCTACTGACACGAACATTACATCTGAGTGTGTGGCATAAAATGATTGGACGAAACTGTTTCCTGGGTGAAATTAAGATCCCAATGAACAATTTTGTTGAAGCGGGAAATTCCCTCGAACAACCAGTAGCTAAATGGTTTAATCTGACCGAGAAGGTAAGAGTTTATTTCTCAAGTCCAGTCAAAAGAGAACCTCTCCATTCCTTGCAACATCAATTTGAGCCTGCTGTCTCTCTCAGTCGTGAACTGCACGTGCCAATATGAGTAATGATATAGTTACTGACCGTTGCTAATAATTCTCGTTGTCTCGACGCTTTGACAATTATTCACCTGAGTGGAGGTAAATATCCACCACTTTCATCGTCACTGAGGTGAATAATTCATTTAATACATTTAATATATACCACACTGATGCAAAAAAAATAGTTTATTTCTTTCAATACCGAAAATTGTTCGGAATTAAACTCTTGACGCGCGATTTTGTCTCAGCTGCTCTGAGGTGAATAGTGCTCTATTCACTTCTGAACTAGCCAATCAGCGCGCGTGAATAGTTTTATTCACTTGTGTGGTAAATACTAATGAAAATTATTTGATAAATTTTCCATCCTTGGAGCAAAGCGCTTCGAAACATGCCCTAACAACGGCAAGCAACTATCAGAAAACGAACGCGCAAAGACTGTAAGTTACATCACTTATTTGATAGATGGAAGTATGTTTAACACAGGCTTGCGAAGTGACTACATTACGTCCAGGAGTAAGGGAAGCTTAACTATGCGAATAGTCACGATCGATTAAGAGACTTGCATGTATGTGGTGTAGGGAGATATCTCGCAGAGATGAAGACTGAGGAAAGATTAAACGATGATAAGCCGTACAACCGCTTGAAAAGATGGGCGTTTCTTTTTCTTTAATAGACCGATGAGATGGATGGTCTGCCTTCAATTCCATGCGAATTAGTTTTGTCTTTGAAGTACGTTACAGCTGATAAAGTAAAAAAGAAAGGAAGAACTAAGGGTGAATTACATGTACATCTGTTGGAGGCCAGGAATCTACCAGGAATGGATGCCAATGGGATGTCAGACCCCTACTGTAAATGGTAAGAGGACAAAAGAAAGAATTTGTTCTGAATTCGACTGTAGTGTCTCTCACAGGAAGTATGCGCATGCCTTCTCCTGTCGGTTATAAGACTTAAAATCTGCATCAAATATAACGACTACAGTGACTCCACTTTCTCTTGATATTTAAGTACGTTGTAACCAGGGCACTGCACTGCTTCTTGCTTCCCCTCTTCAGCACCTTACTTCCACGTAATGCGGAAAAAGATTTCGATTGAAGCAAATTTTCGAATATAGCGGGCCGTACAGTAACATACGGCTCACTTATTGGTCAATCACAGCGCACTTACTAACTGAGAGAAAAATAATGAACTTCAGATAAGTGGTCTGGGTTCGAGCCCCGACTTAGTCATATTATTGCGTTCTTGGGAAACACGTTTTTCTCTCGAAGTACCGCTGTCCATCCAGGGTTACAAATGGATGCAACAAATTGGCAGGGAAACTTGTTGATAACCTTTTTCTGAGCCAGAGGAGTTCTGGAATGGACTAATGTCATGTCCGTCCAGGAGTTCATGCTATAGCATAAATTCTGGTAATAACGGGGAATTGTACTCATAAAAATGCAACTTTTTTAAACTCTTGAATTGTCATGATATTCGCTTGCAATTTTCTTTTCGCCACAGTCTTTTATTACCAGACAAGAAAGGTAAAACTAAGCACAAGACGCCAGTGATAAAACGGACCCTGAACCCCACCTTTGATCACAAGTTTTCTTACGACGAGCTGTCTCCTGACGATTTGAAGGGGAGAGTGTTGGAAATTACTATATACGACTTCGATCTCGCTTCCAGCGACGAGTTCCTCGGCGGCGTGCGGTTAGGCCTGGGCACCAGCTCTAACGAATGGGATGATTCAAACGAAGACGAAAGCCAAATATGGCATACGATGCTTAATCGGTCTAATGTCTGGATTCAGGTTGTTGTTCCCTTGAGGTCTACCATGGCTTACACGAAAAATATGTGAAACTATAACGAGGGAAACAGAATGTGAAATCCAAATACTAAAGCTTAGATGAATCACAAAGCACGCTGAATTATTCTAAACGAAAATGCTGACAGAAACTTTGCAATTCACTCAAAAACGAAAATGCGGTGATATATCCTAAGGTCTTGATTGAAATGTATATAGGACCATGGAAATGAAATTATATCATAGTCACTTTTCAACTCCAATAAAAACCAAATTCATTTTGAAAGTATTAAAATGAAAGAGAATATATCTTACGAATAAAACCGCATGTAGAGTATGAAAACCGCACAGTTGGAAGTTGTCAGCCTCTAGAACTTTTTGATCTCTCGAGTTGAACGATTTCCTTCCACATACTGTAATCAAGTCAGATGATTTCATGATGCAAGCTACCAGAATTTAATTAGGGAACGATAATAGTTTGAGAACTATTTGTGATCACTACTAATGATGAAAATGCGTGGGGGCTTTGGAGGAATATTTATAAAGGGTGGATAGTTGTACTAGTTCGATTTATGATTGCATGCTAAAAATAAAAAAAAAATCGACTTAAAAACTATATTTTCAGGTATCTTTCATAACAAAAGAGAAACATCCATTATGTCGCACTCACAACGACGAAGAAACAGTCCAATTCAAACACCACACTATTCCAAGTGTTACATATGAAATATCGTTCATTTTACCTACGTAAAATGAAATAACATACGACTTTGCCTTCACATAGCAGTAGCCAAGGTAATTGGGGCAAAAAAAGTCTCAGCCTCAGTTCCGCGCGTCTTTTCCTACTATTTTCAAGCCAGCATAAAACTCAAAAGAAAACGCTTTTTAGCAGTCTCTCGTTCATGGGAACTTGCTTTATACTAATTCGAAACCACTCCTTTGATAAACTATTTGGATGTCTTAACTATGACAAACACAAACGATGTCGTCATTGCAATCAGTTACCCCGCAAACTCTTTTAAGTTATACCACTGTATAGTTTTGAAGGTGGATGCCGTGATAATTTGCGAATATTCGACAGGTTTCATCCGTTTTCCATTTAAGACTTCTATCATGCGAAACCATGCGTCAAAAAGGGATGGTTTATTCAGGGTGTCAATCGAAGATCTTCTGCAAAGGTTATTGGCCAGTGAGTGAGTGATGTCAAAGGTACCAGCACATGTGTAATGTAATCGTTGTCAACGCTTTTCAGAGACTCGGTCTTACGTCACTCCTTGACCCAGGTCACCCTTCGGTGAAAAAACTACTCAACTTTGCTGTTTGCTCAGAGAGATTTGTGAGTTGTATTTTATTTCTTGACTATTTTCCTAACAAATCGTCAAATACAATTCTTGCACAAGTCGTCTCTCAGTTTTCTAGATTGCTAATTCTTGCACAGTCATTCTCGTGCTCTCCTTCACCCAAGGAGAGAAAAGAAAACACGATCGCGTTATTATTGAGCTGCTAGTACTTTGTAAAAAATCGTGATTTCTGTAGGGGAGCGTTTAGTTGAAAGCAGAGGTTTTGGTGACTACGTTATTGTATAACGTATTTTTCAGTGCATGATTAAGATGGCTAAGGATTTTTTTAAAGTAACGATGTTGCAAAAGAAACGAATTAAAAACTGCATGCTTAGATATCGACTTTTAGCTTTTCTCTCTTACAAGCTGCCCTTCTAAAATAGGCTTCTTCATCGCATTACAACTCGTTGGGCCAAAATGCAAAACACTGGTAAAGATAGTTGCACTGCAGTGTATCATGTTAGTTGTACATGTGACCCGGTTAAGACGGGTTTATGCTCCAGCTGCAATATTTTCATTGACAAGACGTTGTAAATGCGGTCAGGTTCTTCCCCCTGATGAACTTACCTCATCTCTGACACTTTAGCCGTTACAATAAAAATCTCATAAGTCTGTACTCGAGCCCAGTAGCCCACTAAGCCGGAGCTTATACCAGTTTCCATAGTATGATGCGACAAAGGAGTATCACTGCTCCCCCACCTGGATGAGATTCCAGTATATCGCAAGGTAAACCCCCCGCATTTCATCAGGTTTCTCTGACAATTTGGCGGTACCCCTTGATGCTCTTGGGTGGAGAGAGGCATGGGGAGAGTAAAGTGTTTTTCCCAAGAACACCACACATGTCCCGGCTAGGTCTCCACCCCGGAGTCCAGCGCACTAACCATCAGGTAGCAGCATCTCCAACAAGACAAATTAAAGAGGCTCAAAATAGTTTGTTTTCTTTTTAACCCTTTACACTCTATCATCAGCATTCATATTCTCCATACTGTTCTCTGTACATTTACTAAGGTGCTGACCAGGAGAATTTGTCTAACAATCAAGATTTTCTCTAGTTGGTGATCATTTCCTTTTTTCTCATGACATTTATGAGTGATTCAGGGGTGATATTGTAAGGAGAAATTAGATGCTGGTCTCTCTCAGGGGTTAAAGGGTTAAAACACCAATCATTCGATGATTTGTACTTTACTCTTTCACGTGTTCTTTTGAAAATGGTATCATAAGGATGTCCAGGTATTTTTTAATATGTTGTAATTGTTTCCATTGCATTTAAAGTTACTATATCAACGCCACTCTTTTGAAACACCCTTGACCTGTATATTCTTGTATATTCCTGTAACTCGAAAACGAGCGCTGTGAGCTCAATTTTTTTGCTATTGAATTGCAATCAGCAGATCAATAATCCGTTTCTACCAAGTTCTTTCAAAAAAAATATTTGTAGTACCGTTCAGAGCCACCTTAAATTACCTAAAAATTTAAGTTAATGAAATGAACACATTTCAGAAATGACGTCCAGCTATCTTGAGCAAGCCAATTAATTTACAAGCAAAACTAGTCAGCAGATGTTTCAACGCAGTGATGTTATCACCCGAATTTAAATTTTGTTCAGCCTGCAATCGAAAATTTGCCCATAGAAAGACAACGTGTTCATCCTATATAAACTATTTCCTCAGCATTTGGTCACTCTAAAGCGACTCCACAGCGTTTGAATTGACGTGAATTGACTCTTCGCAGCCAGTCTTCATAGTTTGGTTTGATAAAAAAAAACATTGTTAATTTTCGCAACCTTGATAATAAATCCATTTTTTTTTATTTTATTTCATATTTAAATCATGGAAACTGCAGAGTGTATTCTTTCCATTTTTTTTTTTTGGACTCCAAGGAAAAATTGCCTTCAATTGTCCCTTAATTGTAAGGAAAGAAGACGAGACCGAAGCATGAAATCTCAGGCGCTAAGTTTTTGACCTTGTTTAATATTCAGTTGCAAATGAAACTGCGGATGTCTCGAGGATACTGAAAATTTTTCTTTCTTAAAAAAGTTTTCTTTCCTCTCGTCATTTCTGCTTCATCATTTTTATCGAATTAACAATGCGTTGCTTAAATTGAAAGTAAAATATTAAAATGTCAAGAGATTTCCTTAAGTCAATATTGCCCTAAGTAAATTATGAATATTGTTATTCTGCAGGATAGTTTTGACCTCTCTTTTACTTTAAACATAGTGGTATAGACTCTTACATTTTAAAAAAAAGCTAACGTAACTCAGTATTTGAGCAGCAACGTTTTAATGTTTATATGGATTCGTTTTTCGCTTGTCCCTCCTTGGATTCTCAAACAGTTTCTATTTAATAATATTTTAACAGACGCCTCAAACATATGTTTTGATCGGCGAAAAGTTCTCAGCGACTTGAACATTGTGTACTGTTTTATCAAGATTACAGCGACTAGTTTTAGAATAATGACCGTCCAGCTCCAAATTTACCATGTCATTTCCTATTTCATTTAGCTTGGTCTTTTTTGAATAATTACCATTAACTGTGTAACACATCTTTAGATGTGACTTGAAAAAGGCTTTGGCGAAAGTCCTTGAGCATTGCTTGCACTTTCTCGGTCTTTGTTCGCCAAAGAACTCCATAATTTCAATAACTCCCATCACAATCGCCAGAGCATTTTTGGCCAACAGCACCGATACATCAAAGTGATACCCGTGCCATAATATCAGCCTTAAAACCAAAAAAGGAACATTGACAAAAAACATAAAACTGCATACATAGATGAATTTGAAGGATATCGGAGACGTTTCTCCACTTTCGTGAAACTTATTGAACTTCAACTCAAATAAGGCAAAGGTTGGAAGGAAAATATTCATGCAAGAAAAAGCAAGGATGGAATTTCTTAATTCGATTGGGATCTTTTCCTTATCGAAAAGATACTCCAACATCTCCATGCTGTCAAAGAGATCAAGAGTTACAGCTGCCGTCATCTTCTCCAGGTAGTATCTTCGTCGCGAATGTGATTTCGCATCGTGATGCGCGTAAATCAGAAACAGAAATAACATCGGTGTTAGGCACAAGTTCATTTTCAGCATGTTGGGTCCAAAGACCATTTTCTCGTCTAGTAACGAGGCTTTGAGCTCAAACAGAAGAGCTACCTTTGGCACTAAATGGAGCGAATAGACTATCCAAGAGAGATAAGCCAACTTTATTTCATCTTTATTTTCTTCGCAGGGCAACTGAGGCAGTTTTCGGCTGTTCCTTTGTGATATTTTCATTGTTAACATCCAGGTGGATAAAACTACAGCATCTGCTACAATCCAAGCAAACCACCATGAAGATTCTTCTTTGACAATCAAATAATAGTCGAGGAGTGCCCCTTGAAGAACAAGCAAGATGACAGCAAAAATTCGAGAAAATGCTTGGCGATAAATCTTTGTTCTACACGCCATGAGTCAAAGGAAATAGTCTTCAGTTTATGACTTAAATCCTGCCGGCCGACAAATGTATCTGAGTCGTTTAGCGCCAACAGCGTTCTCATGCCTGTAAGATGGAAGTAACGAATTGTAAACATGTTGGTGCCAAAGTCATTAACTTCATTTCAGAGAAAAAGAAACAAGAGTAATTTGAAATTAGTAAACGTCACTGACTTGCCTTTTAATTATATTCTTCTCATAGCTGATGTAGCCCTAACATGTTTTCAATGGAAGGTTTACGGATGATTCGCTAACGAAAGTAAATTTTGAACCAGTTAAAGTTTGATCATCTGTGTACCGCTTCCAGAGAATGATTGTTAAACGTTATTAAATCTTCTCTAATTTCCCCAGTCTTGAGAGTGCTTATTCATTTATCAGTAACTATACGGAATTTGAAATTTTAACCTTGAAAGGTAATTACTGCTTTGGATCATTTCTACATTTTTTACATTTTATAACCACTTTCATACTTTAGCAAATAGAAGTTTGACTGAATAAAAACTGACTCAAAATGGATTTTGGATTCTCGACTACGGCATTGCCTTCAATGCCAAGGAATATATGTTGTGAATTTTACGAAATGCAAACCTTTATTAGCAGTGTGTCAGTGTAATTTTTCCTTCAAGCAGACTAAATGTCTCTAGAATTAACAGGACAAAAGGTTGTTAATTAATTTTGATTTGCATTTCATTTTAATCGCGGTATAAGTCGGAAAACTCACCTAAAGACCAGCCAAATCATTACTGAGTGAAATACATGTACACTTCTCTTCTCACATCTGGAAAACGCTGGAAAAAAAATCTGCATTGATCAAAGACATAAAAATCATTACTTATTAATTATGTGCGAGTGAATTCGAACAAACCTCCCCGCATTTGACTGTGAATTTCTCTAACCTTCCAGTGATCTTTTCTGTATCCTGCTGTTTGGACGACGACTCAATCAAATGTTTTCGAATAATTCCCTTTGTTATGAAAATGTTACAGTTTTCAGCAACTCATGCATTTGTGAATAGCGAAGCAGATCTTCCAAGCCGTTTAACCCGAGGGAAAAAAATTGTTCCCGCGCCAAGAAAGTCTCTCGGCAAGTCTCGTGAGCAGATGCAAAAGCTTTTGCTCCAACAGAAATAAGGCTAGCCTCTTTGGAGCATTTTTGCACAATTCTGGCACTTAACCTCGATAGCACAAATGGATGCTGTGTACAGTTCCGGAAAGTAGCTGTTAGATTATGTTGCTTACAGTTCCGTTGGCCTGCTCTCATGAACAATACGCCCACACACAATTGCAAGATCATCAATTATTGCATTTTAAGGGGTACATCAATAATTTAAAATAGTATCTTTAATTCAAAATCTGAAAACGAAAATGATAAGAAAGAACAACCCCCGTCATGCTCTTGATATTCATTTCAACTTTCACTCAGTCACTTGGCGTTGTAATCATATCCTTCACTATGTTCATTAAGGCTCCGACTTAAACTTCCGTTTGACTTTTAGCTTAATTCCTCAGGAAGCCGAGACAAAAATATTAAATGATTAAAAGCGTTCTGGCCCTCGCCGGAAATACTCACTAATGCATCAGTAAACTACGCCCTAGTGAGAGGGTCTCAACTGGGTGATGGCTTTTACGGCTAACGGTTAACATCTTGTTAATTTTACGGATTACGGCTAATTTCTCTCCGCTGTGATTAACCAAATATTTTAAAAGTTAACTTATGCACGAAGAACGGTTAAAATTTGTCAATTTTTATGCCCAATGCCTAAATTTTTATGTCATTTTACGACCATATAATCCATTTGAGACCTTTTAGTGACACACGCTGGCTTCTCCGTTGTGGATTCACGCCTGCTTTATATTGTTCACCTGGGGTTAGCTTCCTTATATAGCACTGTAATAATTTAAGTGATCCTCTATGAGTAGGGTAATTCAAGACCCTATACAAAGGGGTTGAAATTTTTGAGATACCTAGCACAATCCTTTCAGTTTTATTGTTGTTTCAGCAATACCTTCAATTCTGGTCAAATGATCCTCGACGGATTCATAGATCTTCTTTGCAATATACCAACAGTCACTAGTGTCTTGATAAGATGTGCTATTAAAAGATATCAAAATATTCCTGGTGGTCTATATCAGATTTTTCAATTTTTTTCTAATAAGGTGATTGGAAAAGTGCGTGTTGTTGTTTTCGTCGCTGTTACTTAGTCGAGTGCTGAACCGGAAGAGTCCAGTTTAGGCGACACTCTTTAAGAAATTTGACGAGTGATGCATCATTAAGTAAGTTGCACAGATGTGAGACTTAGTTCGGCCATTTGTTCATTTATTTTCTTTAATATCGTAATGTTAACCTTAATACACTGAATGGTTTGGATCCAAGTTTTAAATTTTTTAAAATTTTATCTCATAATAATATACCAGGAGCCCCTGAATATACCTATTACATCACAAAGCTGTGTCCTTACTTAGCTTACAAAATAAATGTTACTTGCTGGATGGGTTCGCATTTTCACGATCATATGGACTATAATAGGGTTGAATTTCCAATAGAGTCACTAGCATAAGATAGGAGGGCACTTTTTCGGTATTTCTGGGAAGATAAAATTCTGGTAAGAAGAGGACAAAAAATGAGGAGATTCGCAGTTAAAAGATGTTACCGTATTTCGTGCTGTTGTTTGGATATTTAACAATTGGTTCGCATTACAGGATGATCTTCTTAAAAGGGATATTAAATAAAAAGTGACTGAGTTGGGATCGCGAAAATAACATTTTCCCAAAAGTGACCAAAATGGGTCTTAAACGGAATAAGTTTCTTTTTTTTTTCCATCATTTTTTTTACGAGAACTGTTTTCTTTAAGAACTTAAGGCTGATTAACCAAAATTTTACGAACATACGAAGAACCGTGACACTAGGCCGAGAGTCAGTTAAGAACGTCTTTATTTTGCTCATTTTTTATGTGAGAAATGTAAACAATGGTGAAAGAAATTTAAAACTGTGGTCTCACAGGACAATTAATTCCAATACTACAAGGGACATTTTGCAAATTTAACAATGCGGTTTTCTTATTGCGTGATACACTGGAGAACAATCGAGTTCGTAATCGAAACTTAGTCAGTACTAATAAAACTTCTAGAAAAAAATTTTAAAACGTTTTCAGGTTCAAATCGCAAAAAAAAGATAAGAACATGTAGCCTCAGCCGCAAATTTAGACTTTCTTACAAATAGAGAGGGTGTGCACAGCTTAATTTGTCTACGGCGTTTTATTCCTCGAGATTTTAAGTGACAGAACTAATTGAACCAAATTGGTGTCTTACTCCAAACGACACAGAAATCATTACAAAATGTCAACAAATGCTGACAGGTATTTTGCATAAATAATCAAAAATTTGGTTAGTGATTAATAGATTATAACTTTTTGAAACGATACAATGAAACAAAGAATTAATGTGGACGAACAACTGCGAACCAATTAGGAATCCGTGATGGACTGGTTGAAAGACTGCTTTCATTTTTCTGCCCCACTGCTCATTGGTTAATTATTCATGAAACGCAACAACGTGTTCATATGAGCGCTTAAGTCATGGCACGGAAAACAGGGATTTATCGCCGAGCGCTTGCTAGGATCCTTGCCGTCACCTTGCTGGTTCTTCAAGGTATAATCCTCGACTACTATTTAGTCGTCGAAGCGAATTCATGGTGGTTTGCGTGGATTGTTACAGACGTTATCGTCATAATCTCTTGGATTTTAACACTGTGGCTATCGCATCGAAAATCTCAGAGTACCACAACAGGCACGAAAGATGCGATTAAATTTGCCTATCAAGCCTGGATTATCTATGCAGTACACCTAGTGCCCCAATTAGCCACTCTCTTCAAGCTCAAATCGTCTTTATTCACGGATGAGAAACTTTTCTTTGGACCAAACACATTAAAAATGAACTTGTGCCTGACACCTATGTTATTTCTGTTTCTCATCTACGCGCATCACGATGCCAAATCACACACGCGGCGAAAATATTACTTGGAGAAAATGACGGCAGCTGTAACGCTTGATCTGTTCGACAGCGTGGAAATGTTGGAGTACCTTTTCGAGGAGGAAACAATCTCGATCTCACTGGAAAATTCTATCCTAGCTTTTTCTTGCATGAATGTTTTTCTTCCAACCTTTGCCTTATTTGAGCTGAAATTCAACAAGTTTCATGACAGTGGAGAAACTTCTCCGATCTCGTTTAAATTTATCTATATTTTCACTTTTATGTTTTTCGTTAATGTTCCTTTTTTGGTTTTAAGGCTGATATTATGGCATGCGTACAACTTAGATATATCGGTGCTGTTGGCCAAAAATGCTCTGGCGATTGTGATGGGAGTTATTGAAATAATGGAGTTCTTTGGAGAGCAGAGACCGAGAAAGTGCAAACATTGTTCAAGGACTTTTGCTAAAGACTTTTTCAAGCCTCACATGAAACTTTGTTCGCCTGCTGTAAATATGGAAATGATTCCCTTTGATAAGACAAGCAAGCTGGACGACTCTAAAGAAATTGCTTTAAATGCGTGTGACATTTCGCCTAATTCAACAGAAACATACGTCTAATTCATATCCCAAACAAAGCTTTGTAAAACTATTATTGATCAAGAATTACGATTGAATATGAAATGACGTATGTCAAGACATGGTTTGCACATTGTCATTCAACCCGCTTACAATTTGCTACGTAGTCTGAAAGGCTCTTCCACAGTGTTTAGTATTGTTTTCATTGTTGTTTTGTTCCGTTTCGGAAGGTGTTGAAAGTGCTCGTGTCACGCTGTTAACGGATGATTTTTGACAAAGTATTAGGAAACCACAATAGAATTATTAAAAAGCGGATTGTTTTGATTGACTACTGTGCTGTGGAAGAACTTTATTTATCTCAGCACAAGCCTGTCGAGCCATTAGTCCAACCCCCCGTCCACTTCAGGGATTTATTGGTAGGGGGTAACTTTGACAAACTACGTTAAGTTACGTTTTTCAAAGGAAGAGCGATAAAATTTCCCACGGATTCGACGAGAAAACACTTTTTTAGTCCGTCCATTTCGCTTGCTCGATCTAAGATGTTTCTGTCTTCTGTAGGAACCTCAATGGGAGACCATTTTCTGAGACAGTCAACTTGACTAAATGATGCCGGCACGAGGTACTATTTCGAAAAATTAAAAGCTACTATCAGTAGGGGAAGTCGTTTTGAATCATTGGAGGAGCCTCGATAGCAAAAATTCCCGGCCACGTATCGAAACCTTGAAGATTACCCCACTCCCTCTCATCTCCCTGATAAATTTTCAATATAGCCTGTAACTTCCGTCCCACTTATACTAGCGAGATAAGCGATGCGATCACGGGTTGCAGGTTGAGCTATTCGGGATTAGGACGGGTGCGGAGTTAGCTGTCTCATGATAGTCTTCAGCGCACCAGTCCGCCTAGAAGAATACAAATTAATTAAAACGTTAATGAGGGTTCTATGGCAGTTTTCTTCGAACACTAATATACACCCTCAAATCTGGATAGGAAAAAGTCGATATTACTGTAAGCGTAATATACATTAGTGCCGTGGGTGCTGAAGGCTTTTCTTGTGTGGCACAAAATTCGTCGGATTCAGAGCTCGAGAAAATCTTCCCTTCCCTAGGATTATTACAATAGAAGCACCATAAAAGGTGAAAAAATGTAAACTTTATATCGATGAAATCAGTTTTTCTCAAGAGATTCTCACAATCTCTTATTTTGGATTATCTACTTAAACTGAACATAGCGTAGAGAGCCAACAAGGGCGTCTAAAGCTTGAGATGAAAACCATCTACAGACTTTACAACTGACGATGATGCCTCGATAATTGGATGACGGCGACGTGTTAAAAACTTGTACACCTTTTCAATGATTTGGACGAAAAGTAGATTAAAAGAAATTCACGGGATGAAGCGGAACGAATTTCAAACGGCGAAGTGTTTCTTAAAATAGTTAACCCTTTAACTCCTAGATCAAATTTGTAATTCTCCTCATGGTCAACCCTACAATTCTTACAACGTTAGTTCAGAGAATTTAGTATTGGATCAACTAATTATCCACAAATTGATATTTGTCTTTATTCTCATCACTTATCTGGTTGATATTGTATTGATATTGTAGGGAAAAATTCTTTCTTGGTCACTCATGGGAGTTAAAGGGTTAACGTATTCTTTAGGTCCAGTTAATATCGCACGTTAAATTTCCGAAGAACTTTTAACACTTGGTCTTGAGACTTCCATTTCTGTCCAACTTCTTCCCAAATGTCAGTACAACCAGCTGATTTCTGACGCCTTTTGATTCTGCCATCGGCCGTCCTTGATTTCTTTCTGGCAATAACACGTACTCCTAATGTGTGTTTCAAAAAACAGAAAAAACTCCGGTCAGTGAGGATGGACGAGGAAATGATGATGTGAATGAGTAATCAGTGATTGAAACAAATTCTACCCGGGCAGATCTATTAGGTATCTCTTGCTGGTATGCCGGCTGTTTGTAGATGGAAATAAGAGGAGAGAGTTGTTCTTTTATCGAGGGTGGGAGACCGTATATGTAGAACCCGGATGAAACCCTTAGGGTAAGGACGAGACCAGGTCTGGGAATCGGAGGCAAGCAACAGCGATAAGAGGTAAGCGTTTTCACATCATCGCTTATGCCTGCTCGCTCTCTGTGCCGGCTCTTTTTGATGCAAAAGCGCGATAATAACGCATTTGTGAAGAAGACTACTTTGTATTCAAAGTGACGCGAATGATCGAATGGAGAAAAAAAATCAGGGCATCTTTCCCCTCTAAACTCCTCGCTGGTAAAGAATCCTTCCCCTGTCAAGCCCTTAAACACAGCATTAGTCGAAAGTAACCTTAAATTAAACAAATACACGGAATTGATATTTCAAGCTGACCTCTTCTGAGAGTGAACATGGCGAGGGCTGCTTCATCTTTCACTATTCCCTCCTTGTATTGATGTAAAGCCATTATCAAGTTCATTCCTCCGTGAGCTAAAAACAACTGTTTTAAGGAAGCATCGTTGCCTACTAGGATTCTTATAACCACAATTCCTAGCGCCTGAATAGCTTCGTCATCTTCGTTACCCCGGATGTACTCAATTACTTCAGCAAAGCACCCAAGCTTGGCTAATTTTAGACGCGTGTCAGTCTGAAGGAAACGAAAAGAATCGAAAATAGAATAGCAATAAAAAAATAAATTTCACTTATTTATCTGCTATCTTTAGGTGTTAGCCCCCCAAATCTAAGAGAAGTCAGTTTAGGAGAACCGAAACCAGCCATGACGGAAAACCATCGAGGACTTTAAACAGAACTTTACCTTTCGATTGATGCCATCTTACCTCTCCATTGACAACGGCTTCTCTCAAAACCATGAGCGTCGTCCTTCCTAGAGTAGACGGTACTGGAGGCGCTAAGGAATCTAGTAAATACCCCCCACAGTGCTGAATCACATGTCGAACACATGTCATTCCCAAATACTTGGATTTGTTCATGCTTTTACAAACAGGATCTGCTGAACTCGAAGACCGCTGACTAAGGGTGCTGCTTCGCGATGTTAAAGATGAAGGCGCTCTCGTGGTCCACGCTTCTTTCGGTGTAGGATGACCAGGAGATCTTGAGGATGCGTACTTGCTGTGTTGGAGAAATCTTATAGTTTTCAACACATTAACCTGGTCAACGGGGAAAAAAAAGCAAGTCACAAGGCAAAAGAAAATATAGAGATCCACTATCAAAAAAAAAACGCGGTTTCTAATGGTTACCTCCGAAATTTAAGTGCTTTGTGTACTTGAGGGACCGGAAAACGCTCTTTGCAGTCCATCAATCAAAGAAAGCGATGCTTTTTATTCTAGAGCTTGTAATAAACGCAACAGAACTAATAACTCGAATGTCCGATACACAGTAATAAATGTGAATTTATGACAAGATAACCTTTTATTTATCAAAATTCATAGAACTACCAGTTGTACCTGAATCTCGTAAATTCCACACATTATCCACGGTGCCAAACAAGAAATAACCTTGGCATCAAGAAGACTTTGCTTGACGTAGTGCGTTGTCTCGCGCGAGTCTTGGGTACTAGTCACCTGAGTAGAAGTACTGGGTCGTTCATGAAGTGAAGAGGATTGTAAGCTTTTTGATGACGTGACGGACGTAACACTTGTTTGAGATAGCGTGCGCGATAAAGATCTGATAATACAAACAAAAACATCTTAAATGAGCAAAACGTAATTCATTGGATTAAGGAACATTCTGAAGCCTGGGAGTTTCAAAGTTCGTGACTAATAATAACAGTACTTCTATTTCAAAGTTCGCCGGGGTCTCTTTGAACGAGGATGTCCTGAAGTCACGGTGAACTGAGACTATCTTGATTTTTTTTACGATTCTAAATCGAAAATTGTTTTATTTCTACGACCTCAGGTGAAGGACATATATGCAAACCTTGAGCTTCCTCTTCGGATCATTCTACGACCTTCTGCTCCTTTGGTGATCTTCATAACGTTTTTCACCAGAGTTGCAGACTTTTGGAAAGAAATGTGTCTCTTCGTCGTTTTGGCTCGTGAATCATCCAACATTTTCACGTCTTCTACAGACGGGTCAAATTCGGGTGCTGTGGTTTTAGCAAACAAGCATAGCAAATTCACTGCTTCTTTAACAAAATCAATCTCATTCTGTTCAAATCTAAAATCTGGATAACTTTTGCAGGGTTCTCTTCTTTTACTTGTACTCTCAAATATTAGCTCTGTCCGTGCGTGCTTCAACGTTCTTGTGATTTCTTTCGGGGGAAGTGTTGAAGGGTCGATGTCATGGAAAGATGGAGGGTTCACTTTGAATAATCTGTCGCTGAGGAATTCAAGGTCGCGGATAAATTTTAGACCGCCATTTTGGATCATGTGCGCCACAAGGTTTAACCGTCTGTGAAAAAAATGAAGGATTTCTTAAAATGGTATCAAACTATTTAAAAAATTATCATAGGGGACTAAATGCGATATGAAAAATTTACTGATCATTTTCTAGGTTGACAAGGATTAAATGTCGAACTACGGACTAACCGACTGACTCCCAGACTGATTTGGATAGCTAACTGCCTAAATGACTGAATGACTGGGTAATTTGGTATTACTGATCAACTGAGTTGATAACGTAGTTTAGCCACCGTAAAGAGTTTCAAAGCTGATATTTCAAGCGTTAGCTCTTCGCTGTGACGAAGGGCTAACGCTCCAAACGTCAGCTTTGAAACTCTTTTCGGTGGCCAAATTACGTTATCAACTCGGTTGATATATAGTACCAAATTACCCGGTCATACTCTCCCACCGGCGCAGCACCACATGCAGTTACTTAAGAAACTTCGTCGCTTTATTCATTTGACTGACTGACTGTTCGACGGACGATCAGTATTACCGACCAATCAACGAACTCAAGGAGTTACAAAATCCTTCGCCACCTTGTTGCTTAACAACTATATAAAAGTTAAAGTGCGGTGATAATTTAAACCGCAGGGGGCGAGTTTTGAAAACGCTAATTACTCGAGCGTTTCTCTTTGTCAGAGCAAACACCCAAAAGCCCGAACTACAGATGTGAATCAAGAAATGTTAAAAAGAGGGCGATTATCATTGAAATTGATAATTATTGTGACGACAGAGACAATTACAATGATAGTGATGATAATGATGACCAAACGGTACTACTTGTACGAGTGATACGTACCTTTCTTCAACTGATTCACGCCCGCTTCGGTCATCCACTTCCTCGCTGATCAAAATTACATTTGACATAATCATCAAGCAGTTAGTGAGCACTTGTAAACTTCTCAGATATTTCTCTTTACCAGTAAAGGTATTTATCTTTCTCAGCCTTACTGATCCAAGATTATTAGAATTACTTGTCTTTGATATAAATTGTCTCTCGGAGCCGTTCCTCCAAAGCGCATCGTTTTCAAATACAAGCATTAGAAGAGACGTTAACTCTGAGATAGTTCTTTTGGTTTTGGAGCCAGAATCTCTGTCGGCGGAGATAAGATGATTTGAAGTCCCTGGTAAATGAGACCACGACTGCCTCTGTAAGTTGTCTTCACTTGATGAAAATATCCCAGAGCTGTCTGAATGCTGACTTAGTTCATCTTGCGAAGCAACTTTTCCAACAGTGACCTGGCTCAAAGCAGAGAATGCTGATGCCCTGTCCGGATTTTTAGAAATGTTTCTGAGTGCTATACTAGCCTGTTCCCTGACGCGTCTGTTGAGAAGATAAAATATGATTTTTAGCTGCTGTTTTTTAGCTGCTGTTCGTGTGTGTACGTTCGGCTTGCGCTTATGGCAGGTACGCTGGACACGGGGTTGAACTCTCGCTGGTTCCATACCCAGAGGAGTTTTGATTAAAGTGGGGGCCTCTTGACTCGTGTGTAGACACTTTGATAACCTAAAATTAGCCTCGGAAGTGCAGGAAATATGCTTTTGTATACTTCGTTAGAGCATCGTAATACAGAACCAAAGTTCTTTCTCAAGTTAATCAGGAAACACGAATACTAGCAACACAGCGAGCTGACAATCGAGGACAAGTTAAACAAATCGTAGGCTTACTAAACTGGAACCCTGAACGAGTATGCACAGCTGTATATGTTTGTTTTTGCGCGTAACACAGCAAAGAAAGGCATGCACAATTTCAGTCAGCTGCCGTGATGAAACGAAACATCTCGATCATGGTTCTGGGGCCACCGTGACATATTGAGAACTTTTCCAACTTTTCAGTTCTTTTCAAAGCTTGTCTCACTTACCTACACTGAGAACAGGTAACGGCCCACAGTAGATGTTCTACAACATTGTGAGAGGCGATTACTGTTAGTCCTTGTTTGTAAAATGCCAAAATCCCTAAAAAACGTGCAGCCTTCTGCTGTTGACGACTAAAAGAGGAAAAAAGGTTGGAGAGATGAAATAAGTTCTCATTTCACCTGCAAATCTATACATCTATGATATGAACAAAACGTGTTCTCTAATGAAAGAATCAGAGAAGTAAGTCTCACCAAGGACTGAACTGCAACAGGTTCGTGACACCTATGATGACGTCATCATACTTAGAGAGAAACGTCTCGACCGTAGAGGAATCATGGGAAATCAAATTTGTCAGCACTTCAGTAACCAGGCCCTGTAGAAGACAGCAAATGCATCGCACTGAGAAAAAAAATTGTTGATAGACATTTTGGTATTTACAAAACGTGAATTTTACCTGCAGTTCAGGATTCTCAACGCACATTCGTCGTGGATTCTAGGCAAGAAAAAACAAAAAAACAAAGACTTACTGAAAGCGCTACAAAACCTAACTTTATTTTTAATGTGTAGGCTGCACATCACTTAGGTCATTTAGTGTTCTTCCGAGGCTGGATAACGCGCTTTCCCGGATAACCCGCCATGTAGTTTACCTGTGTCTGCAAAAAACATTACACAATGCACAGCAGATGGCAAGTCAAACGGTGGACAGTTTTATCCATAAAAAATGGAGCCATTTTTATAATATAAAAAGTGTCAAAAATTATCTGCGATATTCTATTGCCCTTTGAAAATAAAAATCGAACAGTTGTCCACCTTGCTTGGTGATAGCTGCGTAACGCCTGCAAGTCCATACTCAATGAGGAGCTGTGCCATTTTGGGATGAGCAGCGAGATTCTTGATTGCTGTTAGGACCGTGTATTGCAAAGGATCGTGCGAGGAAAGCAGTCCAAACAGTGCTTCTGTTCCTGATTTGGTCATCACATCCAGCCAGAGTTCAGCGTGTTCCGTCTTCTCGACCACCTGTAGCAAAGCAAGATCGTACTTTTTTATATTTTTATGCTTGTTTGTCTGTGTCTAAACTTGTGCGGTGTTTCCCCGAAAGCTCGGAAGTTTCAGGTTTGTCCTCTGAGGTTGGTTACTCGAGGACATCCACTCGACATCCACTCGTCATCAAGTGTGTGGCTTTTTCAAGTTTCGAAAGTCGTCTTTTTCGCAATGAAGCATCATGTTCAAAGCTTGTTAGTTTTAAAAATATTATAATACACTTGCCTAGTATCATCAGGAGATTGCTTCGTGCGGCGCGGAACTAACAACTGAGGGGTCCACTAACCGTGAGTACAGCTTCCCGGCCCACCCTTCGCGCTTCGCTTGACATTCGTGCCTGGTTCTCCTGTGATCGTTTTAAAGCATTCACTGGTCGAAAATGGAGTGAACGTACACGGGTGTCTCACAATAGCATTAATTTGTTTCATGGTGACAAATGATAGCCATATGTAATAACATTAACAAGAGACGTGTGACAAACCTTATTCAGGCAAGACACCGCTTCCTTCTTTATGCCGTCGTCTGCACTCAATAGCAGTAGGTCTACTAAGTCCTCAAGCAGGCCTTTCTCCAAGAACTTTTTGACATTCAAGGTACTAGTGCACAGTTGACTTATCATTGAGAGGACGCTTTCCTGAAACAATAATTAAATAGCCTATAAATAAAACTTGAGCTAAACTTGTACTGTAAACAATCTAGCCCGCGTCCGAGGTGGCCCATCAGGTCACATTTTTTCATTTTATTTCCTGGTGTTCATAACAATCCCGCGATTTTGAGTAATGTTATTGCTCTTTAATCATGACAGTGCTGATCCATTACAGCCTGTAATAGACCAACATTGAGCAATTTTACCCACAGACTTTTCCCTTTACAGATTTCCTCGGCAGATAACTGATACCCATGTTAACTTCCAGGGAGTATTTTCTTCAGATCATTACCTTCATTCTTATCTGTCGGACCGTGTATTAAAATGACTACAAGAAGAGAAGTAACTGGTGTAACTGAAGAATTTTAAACGAGAGAGCACTGAGAGAGAACGGAGATTACTTGGATGCCATAGCAGATACGGGCAAAATTAAATTCCTTCCATTTATTTCATAAACCAAAGACAAATAGTGAAATTGCCAACATAGAGGAAAACCGTAACATGTGCCTCGGTTGAAGTATTTCAAAACTTAATTAATTGGGGGATGTTAATTATCATAAGCAATTAGTGGACACCTAGTTTGTGAACAAAGAACGTGACGTAAAAATGTTATCAGCTATAATACTCCTTGCTATAATTCCTTGATCCTTTTAATTTTCGTTAAGCCGACACAATGAGGTTCGGCATGAGCAATATAGGACCCACAAAGGCCTCAGGGTGAGTAAAGTATGTTATTAGCTTTAAAACAAAGCAAAAAACTTTTAACCTTAAATAATGGCTAGTTAATTTTTTTTCTCGCAAACGTTAACATGTAGCTACTCATTACGTGATGAGCAACCATCTCACTATAAAATGTAACCCTAAATCCATGTTCCGTGTTAACAGTCGGACCTTGTTAACGTGGTATTTGTCGATAAATTTGATTCAATCGTAAGAACTGGTATACTCACCTTAAGTCCAGAGTCATCCGTATTAAGCAATTTCAGGACCTAAGTGGGTAAAATAATTCGTTTTATTAGCTTATTATTGACCAAAAACAATTATGCATTCGGAAAACAATGCCCTCCCGCGAGGGTCTTAAATTAATCGTAAATGTAAAATAGCAATTATCTATTATACATGTTTTTTAGCTTTGATATCCTTCGAGAATAAGCTGAGTCAAGTAAACTGCTATAATTGAAGTGCACTCAGAAACCATATTTCCTTCTTTGATCAAAATTACGGGAACTGAGAACTACAGTCCTACTCAAACAAGGCCTGCCAATATCTTTTGGGTTTGTGTACAGTCCAGGCAATCCCATATGTTACAGCGTCAATCATGCCTTGTTTCAAAACATATTGAATACGGTTGTTATGTCATTTGAGAAGGAAATGCATGCAGTGTAAAAGTTCAGCTAGAAGCCCTTGTAAGGCATTCTTCCCGTCACAGTATTTCCTGTGGGCAGATATCACAAAACACACGCCTATATTTCAAAGTCCATGGAGCCGTCCCCTATCTCTTCTTCATAACAATGATATGAAGATAGCCGCTTGTTTCCCCACGACCTTTTTCTGTGATTGGTAAGTGACATTGTACAACGAAAATAAAACGCACTTACATGAACGAAAAATAGAACTCTTACTGATTCTATAAATTTTTGAACGAATGGCGCTCTGTGTGTGAAACATCTGATGGTCTGTGAAAGTATTTGACTACCGTTAATGCGTCATAGCCAACAGATTATGAAGTGGCACAATTATTTAGTCCAATTGACACATTATCAGACAAACGTCTCAGAGAGAGCAAACGGATTAACACTGCTTCGATATGAGTAAAGTCGGAACATACCTGCACCATTTCGTCATCTGTTAAAATTTCACTCCCTTGAAATCCTTTTACGATGTTCCTGAAAGCCTTTGAAGATTCCTTCTTAGGACCTTTGCAGTATTTAAAAAATATAATCATCAGTTCATGAAATCCGATTTCCCCTACGTCGCCTTCTTGGTCTCTCGAAGCCTTTTCATGGCCATTCTGTTCTTCCTCGCATTTACACAGGTAATTCCTTTCAGGGACTTCCACTTCTCTCTTAGGCAACACAACTTTAATAGTGACGATATTTTCCTTTGGCGGCTTAACAGATGAGAGAGTTTGCCGCTTATCAGCAGAAGATCCAATTTTCGGCTGTACAACCTGCGACTGCTTCCTTTCAATGTTCCACTTTCGCGTTTCAACCTTAAGTCTAGGAATTCGTCCTCGAATCTCGGCCCAGTCGGACAGACTTGAACATTTTGTGCCGACAACTTCCAAATGTTTGAAGTCCCATGGTGAAAGAGCCATCTTGAATCGAAGAAAGGCACAAGTTCATGGCAACTACATCGCTGATAAGTCAAACAATGCAGTGTGTATCTTTCCGCTGTGATCGAATTCCTTGTAGCAGATTGCATGACCAATAACTAATTATGTTCGTCATTTCCTCTTAATCTTTAGCAAGAGAGTGTCACTCTATAACTACATGTAAGGCAAACACGGTACTTCAAATATCAACAAACTTGCAAATAAAGGTCAAATCACTGTTCAATAGCGCGTTAGGTTCATTGCGGAGTTCATTTGAATCACAATAGACAAAATCGTTCGCGCAAATAATTAGGCGTGAGATAAGTGAAAGCTGAAATAGGACGTGACGTGGGGGGACCTAGTAAGGGTTTATTGGTTAAGTACGAAAACTTCAAACTCACGCTTGTCGACCAACTTGCCACCCCTGGAGGAAAAATATTAGCTGTTGTTCATATAACAGAGGGGAGAGTATTGGAGACGAGTTGCCTCGAACTTACACAGGAGTAACATAGGACATTTTACGAAAGTATTCGATATAGTTAGTCGTCTTCGCGTGCGAGAGAGTCCCGCTCTACGAAATATTCTGACTCTTCAACAGAGGTGGTGTAAGTAGCGCTACTTCCGGCCGCTTTCAGGATCCGATCGTCAACAATGAATTCAGCCATGTGAAGAAAGTACGTTGTATGTAGTTTTAACTTTGGTCTATATTATCACTGACATTATCGCTTTCTATATAAATCTCTTTACTTTTTTATTCGGCTGGTATAAGGTTTTAATTCCTAATTCATGATCCGTCCTGCTCCAGAGGATGGCATCAAAATCTAGAGAACATAGCATGCTAGGCCAGGAGGCCATTAGTGCTCCTGGTTGAGCGAAATCCATGGACCTATTGGCCTTCGTTGCTGTTTGTGAGTGTTTTTTAGCAACGAAGCCTTGGAGAGAAATTAAAGAGGCTCTGAGCTCTTCCCCTCATTTTCGCAGCTCCATTGCATTTTTAAAATTTTTCACTTTTAAGCATTGAGCGCTCAAAAACCGCCGTTTTCGAAGGCTATTCACCAACTTTCGTAATCTGCGTAACTCAGCAGTCTGTTACATTTCCCCCTGTGCTACCTATCGCCTTTTAGCCTGCCTATTAACCACGATTGGCGAGGAATTTTGCAGGTTTGAACAACTTTTTATGATCAGGTTTTCTTTCCAGCGTTTTTTGTGCTGCCCCCAAGTCCTTTCGCCTACACAGGATCACACAGGTTAGGCCGATTTAGGCAGCTGTATTCACATTAGCTGGAGTCAGCTGACATAAAAACTCGTCTTAACGGTTTGTTAGTGTATTTTTTCCTTTTCTCTACTTTTTTTGTTTTCATCACCGTATTGCGTCAAAACATGTCCAGATCGACATCTGCCCTCTGACGATGGCCTGCTGATTTGAGGTTAGTTTGCCTCTTAATTTAAAAAAAATATAAGTTTACACCATTACAATGGTCCTGCAGAGCTACATCCTTCAAAGCCTTTACTGTGAAAATTTTGACCGCAAATTTCATTGGTCCACGTCAGGGAATGCCCCACTCTATTGCGCACGCGTTAAAGATCAATCTGTTATTATCACTCGGTGATCAAAATGGCTCGTGGAGTCAACCTTGTTTTCTTATTTCTTCTGGTTTTTGTTTCTCCTTCAATTTTTGCCAACAAGGTAGACGAAGAGGAAAGTTGTAGGCGATATGCTGGTGGGCAAGTTTATCCGGAAAAGACTACGATTTCGGAGCATGCAGTTCACTGGAGCAAGGCACAAAGTACGTGAGTTCTATGTCCTAGACCCGCAAAACACGTGGATTTTAAGTTTTCTGGGAATAAGAGAATTGTTCCTGCCTTTATCGTTCGCATATGAGAACTTCTTTGCAGAAAATCTGCTTTCAAGTTTCAAAATGTTGTTTTAACTCTTTTTTCCATACTTAAAAGAGAAATTATTGTGCACAATCGCGAAATATTTGCTGATAACTGCAGTTCAATTATTTTCTTTTTTTTTTTCTACGAGCCTTGAGGCTAATGTCTTTGAACGTAAGGAGTTGCTAAACAAAGATATCAATGCCAACATTGGTTGTTTATTCCGTTTTTAAGAAGCTCTTAACAATCAAAGGTACATATATCGACTGTTGTTGATGTTCGCTTTTATTTGCAAACCAGTGAATCGGAACGCAATGCGCTGAATATATTCACTACACTTCTTTTGTTTGTGTAACGTGCGGAGTTGATTTTATAGCTTGGAGCCATATTGATTGTTTTACTTCAGTGGATTATAAACTCAACCTTTGGCTAAACGGTGACTCGCCGATTGAGCAATTAATGGATGAGTTAATTCACCGGGCGATCGGAGAAGTTTGTAGGGTTTTGCTCGATGTTCTTGACTTGTTTGGCCCTGACATTGCATGAAAATTGAAGGAGTTTTGAAGATATATGTACTCTGAGAGACATGAAGCGGAGCTGATACAGTGCATTATGACTTCAGAGAACTGCTATTGCTTGAACAGTTTTCATTACATGAACGTGGAATGATCTTAAGCAGTATTTTTAATCGGAAACCGATAGTCTAACTTAGATTTGTACGCAAAGTACAAGCACACCAAAATATTTAGCTACTGTAGGTATAACAACTAATTTCTTGTGAATTCTTAAGTAAATTTGAGCTAAAAATGAGACCATTTTTGATGGAAATCAGAATATATGTATACACTTTGTGGAAAGTATAAGCATTATAATGATATATGTGCACAAATCCCAGCAGGATAATTGATTAGGCTCAAGTCAGTCAATTCATACCGAGCAGGGTTGAAAGTTAAAATTAAGTGTATGGTCAGTACAAAATGCAGATTACATGTAGACACAAAATGCAGACTTTAAACAAAAACATTTTTCTCTTGTCCAAATTGATCTCACACCTGACAAATATATAATTATGACTTCTTTATCAACTTGCTGAGGTCATATTCCATGTTGATGGAACCTTTGCCATCATCTACCTTTGGAAGAAAGGGGGTAAGTTTCTAGGGAAACTGTGGTGCTGCATCGGTGGGAGAGTATAACAGGGTAATTTTGTATTATCAACTGAGTTGATAACATAAATTGGCCACGATAAAGAGTTTTGAAGGTGAAGTTTTGAGCATTAGCCCTTTGTCAGAGAAATTGAGACTGTTACCTTTGGAATAGTCCACTTTGTGACATCGCTGACCTGTACCTAGTTTTAAGCATAATCTCAAAACTTACCTTTTGAGCCAAGCTTTTAGTTTGTTGCCTCAGTAATGTCTTGTTTTTAACTTCTTTATTGAATTATAAGGTTTTGTTAACAGTTGCCTATATTTAACTTTAAGGTGATTTAACTTGGTTGCCATCATCATCAAAAAATTTAATTTATTTTCTATTATATTTTATTGAATTTTTACTTTCTGTGAAGCATATTTGATTATAGTTACATATATGTACACCATATAAATTTTAATTATCCTTATTATTATAATTATGTCCATTGCTAAAATATTCTCAGCCCAAGTCTGGAAATGTACTTTTAAACCCTTTACACCCTAACATCAGTATGCATATTCTCCACACTGTTCTCTATACATTTCCTAAGGTGCTGACAAGGAGAATTTGTTGGAAAATCTAGAGCTTTTTTAGTTGGGGATCATATCCTTTATTCTCATGACCTTAAATATGTGATTCTGGAGTGATACTCAGGGTTCTCCCTAGTTTTCAGCAAAACAGGTAGGGTACCTTTTCAAACCGGTAAAGCTCATTTGCAGCTTCAGGCAGCTGGTCATTCTCAACTTTGTCATTTCCTAAAGCATACAGTACATCGTGCCTATCAAAAATTCTCCATCAAAAAATTCATAATGTGAACAATATACCTTTAGGTTCAGAGTTTGAACAAAACAAAGTAAAATTTTGTTTAAGAGCATTGTATTTGACTATGCCCTTTCCAAACTGCTTATAACGTAAACTGGTATCCCTTCGATTTCAGGTGATATCTTTGGCATCACTTACATGGCATATTGCTGGAAAATCAGCAGTGTCAGCTACGAATCGCATTGCTATGAAATTGAATCACATTGACTAGCTGAATTCGTGTTCTAATTGTCTCAAATTCAGAACTTTTACGCTTTTGAGAGATTTTATTTTCAAGGCTTCTTTCAAACCATTGTCTGAAACACATTTCAAGTAGAATTTCACGACGAAGACTAGCTTTGTCCCCACGTGTTCGTAGGGCAATTGTAGAGCTGTTAAGGTGGTTATTTCTGGCAATTGGCTGCTTTTCCATTGCTAGTACTTAACCTTTGTTTTGTTTACCCCTAAAATTCTTGTTAAGCTTACCAGCCACTCTTCATGACCTCTTGTTACTGGACAGAACCGACAGCATTGTTTGCTACTGTTTCATTGTGGAAACTAAAAAACTAAACAACACCACATTTGCATGTGCAGAGAACTGACAAATGTCATGAAATTTAGCAGAAAACCTGCAAAAAATCACTCTTGCTTCAAAATTCGAAAGGTACCAGTCAGTGTTAGCTAACTAAAGCACACGTAGATCTATAATAGTGGACACTGTTGGCTTGTTATTACACTTTCTTACCAGATTAGCTCACCATAAATGCATATTTTTTAGGGGTTCTGAGCGTTTGCAGGCGGTAATAAGTGCTCTTACAAGCTGTAAATTTTACCAGCTACTGCCTGACAAGGAGAACCCTGGATACTGTAAGGAGAAATTTCATGCCAGTCACTCTAGTTTGTTGAAAAGTCAAGAGCCTTTTTAGTTGGGGATCATTTCTTATATTCTCATGACCTTAAATGTGTGATTCTGGGGTGATATTATTGTAGGGAGAAATTTCATGTTAATCACTGTTAGGGGTCAAAGGGTTAAAGCATACCTACATTTTTCTGAAAATCATTGTTTAATGCCTTCTGAGCTAGGTATTTTCAGTGTTTTACTTAGCTCTTTAACTCCCATGAGTGACCAAGACATCTTATTTTCCTTACATTGTCAATACAGTATCGAGGAAAAAAAAAGTCATGAGAATACAGAAAAGTATCATTTAGGGAATTATTGAAATTGATCCAATGACAAATTTTCAGTGTTTTACTTAGCTCTTTAACTCCCATGAGTGACCAAGACATCTTATTTTCCTTACATTGTCAATACAGTATCAAGGAAAAAAGTCATGAGAATACAGAAAAGTATCATTTAGGGAATTATTGAAATTGATCCAATGACAAATTCTTCAAACTAGCATCATAAGAATTGTATGGCAGACAGTAAGGAGAATTACTGATTGAAATACATTAGGGGAATGAGTTTTAATTATGACGCTCTAACATTTCTTCTGGGGAATAAGTGTTTAAACAGCATCTTAGACTAGTACATGCTGGTATGGCGTGTTTAGCGAGGGAGAAGTATTTTGGTGCAGCATGTACTTTGTACCTACTGTAGTCTGCAGGCTGCATTCTCAACTTTGGTCTTAACAAATCATCAATTGATTTTTTCATGGAATTTGAAATTTCCAAGCACTCAAAAATTTTTTAATGACTATTTTGTGAAAAATTTACAAATCTTCACTTTTCTTGCTCCTCTGATCAAAAGTCAAGGTGTTTATTAGATTTTCAGCATTTGCATTGCAGCATTTACTCAAGGTTGTTATAAACTACAGGGTGGCATTTATTTCAAAATCATATTTCTCAATTCACTTATACAGATAACAGTAACTCTGTACTGAATATTATGTAAAACAGAAACATGTTTGAAGTTCCAAAGCCTCCCTTTCTATATAGTAATGGTACTTTCCAAGAAAGGTAAATTTTAAGTTGTACAATGACTGTTATTTTTTCCTGTCATAAATGTTGAATAATTGTATTATTCCTTTAGTTGGGCTCAGAATTTATTCAAGGGCTGTGACTGTGCATGTGTTCATGTAGGCAATCAATTTATTTCACATGCTATAAATCAGTACAAGTAAATTTTTCAGTGGCTAACCTGAAACAAGCAATATAATTTGTAGTCTTTAAAAGATGTAAGATTGCTGATTTATCCCAAATTGCAGGAGTTATATTTTGTGATCACTTAGTTATATACATGCAAAAATTTGACTCTGTTTTCCCCTTAATAATGTTTACTGGGTAGATGTATTTTGGCTCACTGATTCTGCCCTCATTTAGGTTATTGACCAAAGAACGACAAATTTTATGAACATGTCAGCACTTATGTGAACTTTATTGCCAAAAATATCCTCTTGATGGATAAGGATTAAGTTCTGGAAGCAGTAATCTTTAAAAAATTAACCCTCCAAAACAATTTACATTTTGTGGGCCTCAAACAGAAAAGAAGTTTGAAAAGACTGTCAATCTTGTTTGCCATTTCTGGTGACTTAGGGTGGTCATTAATTTGGGTATGGAGCTCAGTTTATTATTATATCAACAACAGGTGATGACAATTGAAAAACTTGTGACCTTGAGGGTATTATTTTGATATGCTGTAATTATTCAGCTATAAGCCAACTGATTTTTACTTAAATTTAAGTTTTTTTATGCATGTGTTTTATGCAAGGGAACCTTTATTAACTTTCATACTTTATTTTCATTGCATAGCTTTTTTACAAGTTTCATTTGAGAGAAAAGCAGTTTTTAGTGTGAATTTATGCAAAATTGTTGGGTCTTTGTTACACATAAAGTCCAAGAATAGGTCTTGGCTCATTCATGTTGGTTCACCATTTAATTCCCAGAATCATCCCATTTTTTCTTTCATTTTGTGAAAACCTAAAGATTTCCCAGCCTGGAACCTTGCACTTTAAAAGGGAGATTTGAAACCCCTTTTTGATGTGTGAAATGCTGTTTAAAATATTGGTGAAGCATTAATTTTTCTAAAATTAGTGTTTGAAATAGGATGGGAACCCCATTTGCTACCCAGCTCTTTGGTGTTAATTTGTTTAAGAGAAAGGGGTGGTGAAGTGTAGCAAAAAAGTCTTCAGTGTTTGGAAAGGGCAATTCAGTCCAAGGATATCTGAGTTCTTCATAGGAGAAATCTTTTTTGTGTTCCCTTTTTGTTTCTGATTTTGATATAAATATTGTCCTTTAGATGTAAAATGGTGACCTGTGAATCTTTTTCTGCATAGTTTCTAAACCAGCACCACATTGGGAAGGGACTGCTGTTGTTAATGGAGAATTCAAAGAGTTGAAGATTACTGATTTTAGAGGTAAGTTTTTTCTGTGAGCTCATAGATACAGCTGTAACTTGGAAAACTAAGAGCCTTATGTGAAGTCGAATCACAGGTTTGTAAAGATCTTGTATGCAGCTACTGGTAATTCTGCTAGAAGCAGTTTGACACTGTAATGCTCATAAATATTTTCCTTTTTGTGTGTGCTATTCTATAAACAGTAGCCTCTGCCTGGGCTTGATTGAACAGATATTTGTTAGTGGGCATTGCCTGTTGGGAGATGTGTGAGGCAGGTTCAGTCAAGTGACTTGTTGAGACCAAATGCATCTAATGAAACATTGTTTAAAAATATTATTTTCTCCTTTAAAAACCTTCACCTTGCTTAATTTTTGGCATGTTTACATGATGTTTTTCATCATCTGTTGACGATTTGTCTTTTCCTTCCAGTTTTTTCCTTCTGATTTGTGAAAAACCTTCCCCTTGCTCAATTTTTGGCATGTTTCTGTGATGTTTTGTCATCTGTTGATGATTTGTCATTTCCTTCCAGTTTATTCTAATTTTTGTTATATTACTTTTTCCTACACAGGAAAATATCTGGTTTTCTTTTTCTATCCCCTTGACTTGTGAGTATTAGATGTTAGTATACTCTTTGACTAAAAGTTTGCTGTACTTTGCTACCTTCATGCTATCCCCCTAAATTTAAGCCATCTCTTCACAATTGCTACAGTAGTCAACATTGTTCTCAAGGTGACTGATATTAAAAGTTTCATTAATTGCATGCATGTTATTTTAAATTGAATCATTACAAATAACACCTACTGTATTTGTTGTCATTTACAGCACTTTTGTTTGTCCAACGGAGATCATTGCCTTCAGTGACAGAATTGAAGAGTTCAGGGCAATCAACACTGAAGTTGTTGGTTGTTCAGTAGATTCAGTTTTTACCCATTTAGCTTGGTATGTTAATCCTTTACACCCTAACATCAGTATGTATATTCTCCATTACTACTCTCTAGACATTTCCAAGGGTTCTGACAAGGAGAATTTGTTCAACAATCAAGAGTTTCTTTAGTTGGTGATCATCTCCTTTATTCTCATGACCTAAATGTTTGATTTAGGGGTGATGTTGTAAGGAGAAATTAGATGTTAGTCACTCTCAGGGGTTTAAGGGTCAATCCTAAATTTTAACTGAATTTGTAACTTTAAAGGATTTGAGAGTTTTAAAAAAACAGAGAAAGGTATTTCCAATTTATTGGAACATTTTTAGAATGGCAGAAATTAAAGTAACAAGGAAAAATTTCTATTTTTGGTAAAAATCTCCCATAAAAATGCATTCCAGTTTCAAGTTACATTCATTCTATATGTTTCTTTATATACATTATAGTCACGCAGGAGAGAACTTTTGAATGATTTCATGGGTAATGACAAAGATATATATTGCTACAGCAGTGTTCACCCTTATTTTAAGCATGATTGGTAATTTAAGGAATTCTCAAAACAGCTAGTAGAGCAATCCTTGTACCTGTTGAATTGTTAAGAATTCCCAGAGGTACCAGAAGCAATAAATAAATTCCTATATTCCTTTCAATTCTAGGATAAACACTCCAAGGAAAGAGGGTGGTCTGGGAAGGCTTAAATATCCTCTGTTATCTGACTTAAACCACCAAATTGCTAAAGATTATGGAGTACTGCTTGAGAATGAAGGTCACACCTTAAGGTGAGGATATCTGTGTTTTGTATTTCCTCATGTTTCTGACTTTTTGTGTCTGTAGGCCATTCTATTTAAACATGTGTTTAGTGTTTATCAGCTGTGATCCTCTTGGAATAATAAACATTATTCAACAAAGTGGAGGTGAAATAGCTGGGGATATTAACCGAGCTGCAAAGCAGCTAGGTAAATATCTACCACTTTCACCTACAGTGAGGTAAATAATTATATTAGCATGTACACTGTATATACCACACAGAAATTTAAAAAATCAGTACATTTCTGTCAATATACAAAGAAATGGTTGGAAATTAAATTTTTGATGCATGATTCTGTTGCCTTGGCTGCTTGAAGGGGAAGAGTACTTGTTAATCACTTTCAAGCCAGCCAATCAGAGCACACAAAAAGCACTATTCATCTGTGTGGTATGTACCAAAAAAACTTATTTGATGTAATGATAATAATGATAATGATGATCATTTAATAGACCATATCTACTTGAACAAAGTATTTCATTATCTGCAATCTACCTATTCTTGATTTCTAAAAGCTGAACATTTCTTTGTTTGTGCTCCTACCCTGGATCAAGATATCCAGTTTTGAGCACCTGACTGGCATTATCTTGTTGCATTGTTGGCTGTCACACCACATAGTTAAGAAAAACGTAACTCATATACTGAAGAGTCTCTCTTGGTCGGATGGTTTTTTCCCCTTAATATTACTACTTTTGAGGGGGAGCTGGGGGGAGGGGGGGGGGGAGAGATGTTCCCGTAATGGACATAACATCCATGGATTAAATACACTCTCAGACCAGGTCTGATCAGGTTGCTATACTTTGCTTCCTTCATGCTATATAACAGGTCTGATAGTTAGGCAGGGGAGATTTGGTTAAGGTGAGAATATTCTTACTTCTATGACCACTTTTATTACATGCCTGTTGTTCTATTTCAGGGGTCTATTTATAATCGATGACAAAGGAACTCTACGACAGATCACAATGAATGATCTACCGGTATGTTGTAACTGTACATGTATGACTGTAATTGTACCGTGAATTTCTACTGCGAGTTTTATGTAGCTGTTTGCTTCTACAGTTAATTGTTCTTGATACGCTGAGAAAATTTATCTGTCCATTCATATAATTTGATTCGAGTCTGGCCCTCGTCCACTGTCACGTGGTAAAAATCTCAAGCTCATTGTTTAAGTGTTAAGCAGTGGGGATCCCTTTCCTTTTATTTCGTGACGTTTTTATTATTTCATGTGAAAAATAGTGATATTTCGATTTTGATTTGGACAAGAGAGAAAAAAAGCTGAGTAGATAGTATCAAGAAAAAAGGCTCCTGGTGTCCAGTCTCCTGATTTTTTTGCGGTTCGCGGTCTTTGGCTTTATAAAGTGTGAAGTACTATTTATAACTTAGCTACTCAAAGAAGTTAATCTAAACTGGTTATTTCGCAGGTGGGCCGATCAGTCGACGAGACTTTACGTTTAGTCCAGGCTTTCCAATATACTGACAAACACGGGGAAGTTTGTCCGGCCGGTTGGAAGCCTGGTAAAGAGACGATCATACCTGATCCAACAGAAAAGAAGAAGTACTTTGCAAAACAGACTGAAGGAGAAGATGAGGAAGAGAAGAAATAAACTGAACAAACTTTGGAATTGGAAAAAAAAACTGAGAGTTGTCTTAATTTAGGTGGCATTGTTTTACTCTGCATCCAGAAAAGTTACCAACGATTTGTAAGAAAACTTTTGGCGAGAATCGAGAAACAAATCTAACTTAAAGATAGATCTATGTAGTAGTCTCTTTAGTTGTTTTGTAGTGACGTTAAAGGCCTGCAATTTTCTGTGCGCGTAGGATTGAGGTGGAGTAATGGTGAGGTGATTCCCTTGTTTTGTTCCTCCGATGAGTATGGCTATAGTGAATTATTAGACTTCTTGCTATTTAAAAATCACCTCACATACTCTGGTCAGTTACTCCACGAGTTCACTCTGAAACCAATTCTTCAACCCGCTCTCTTGCTATACATTTCCTACGGTGCTGACAACGAGGATTTTGGCGATCATTCCCTTAATTCTCATGACCTAAATACTTGGCTCGGCTTGATACTGAAGGGAGACTTTACATGATAGTAGCTCCGAGGGGTTAAAGAGTTGAAATGTTTCCCTAAGTCTAGGTGAGCAAGTCAATAGAACAAATTGTCAGTAAACAATTTTCAGTTTGGAATCGAAAAGCATTCGCTGTTCAGGAAATGAGCCCGCGCCCCTACCCTGAAATTTCGATAAGTGTCGGAAATCTAGCCCCGCTTATTTGGTGTGAAACATGTGAACCAGTGGTGAGCAAAAATACTTGGCTGCAATTTAAAAGCACAGTCATGGTCGCTAGCGGAATGTATCCTATTTAACAGGGTGGTAGGAAAAACACGGAGATTTCGTTTTAGACTTAATGACCTTTTAAGCTGACCGTTCTTTCACTCGAACCAGCTCCCCTCCTCCAAGTGAAATAGACGTGTGGTGTGGGTCTTATCCTTGTTATTTAACAGCCTGTTTAATTAATTGGGCAAAAGGAAAGATTTAGAAAGAGTGAAGGGGTGTAACAAGAATTTCATAGTGTTCTAGTTTTCGTTCTTTCAGAAGTTCTTTTTACACTAAATTTGCAATATCAAGCAGAAGAGTGATAATCTAAAAACATCGCCTGCTTTTTCACTAAATTTTCCGAGCGAAAACTGCGTGAAATAAGCAAAAACAGTAAGAAGAACTGAAACGAAGATCTGAAATGGATTTTAATTGGATTATGTACCAAGTAAATATCAATGGACTCAGTTTTTTCCACAGTTCATGATTTCTGCCTGCTCTAGTCTTTTTGGATAGTACATTTCTTCCAAGCTGGCAAAGGCTTCAAGATTAAAAAATTAAGTTATCAATCCAGTGAGTCAAAATGTATCAAATGCATGTCCAAATGCATGTAAAAAAAGCAATCATATGTACAACGTACAACAAGTTAAAAATTCAAAGGTAAGATATGCCAAACACCAAAGGTTAAACTTGGTCTTAGGTGATGCTTGGAGCCATGAAATTGAAATACACAACTCACATGGCCATAAAGTTTCGTATTTAACTTATGATTTAGAAAACATCGCTGTATAATCCTTACGAAGACCATGTGAGATTAATTAAAAGGTTTTCTCGGCATAACTTGTCTTAAACATGGCCGCAACACCACTCAATCTCCGCAAAAAATCTCCTTTTAAAACTAAACCATTTGACTTGGCAGTTTATTATTAAATGATATGGTAACAAATCGCTTATTTGATTATAGCCTCAATGCGGGTTATTTAATGATTCAACCAGTTCAATTCAACGCCGCGTAACATTAAATTTGTCACCCCGCATGCCTCTGTTGGTTTTGATTGTCATTAGTCAGTACCAAACGCCTGGGGTCTCCTCTTGTCTTCAAACAAATCCATCAGTGATGACCTACAAGAAAAGTATAAGAGCCGCAAAATTGAACATTTTTCTTGAATTCCTCGAAAAATAAATTTAAGTGCCATGCTTTATTACAAAAGAAAAACTGCGAGTCTTGGCATTAACAACAGGCAGTGCAATAAGTCAACGAGAAACGTATTTTTCTGTTTTGTGTTATCCTTGCGCACCCTCTACCTCGGCTGCAGGAACGCAATGAAGATAAAAGACATGAAATTGAGTTTGACCTCAAGGAACAAAAAGGTGATAATTAACATCTCACTTTTCGTTGATTGAGCAAAATTAAAGGCATACTTACGATGGATACCTTTTAATTTCCGTTAATTCCAGTTTCACGTCGTCCCCAATGAGTACAAATGGCGCCCAGTAATTCCCTTTACTGAACATTTCAGACTCTCTCATGCACTTCATGGCTTGATTGACAGCTT